AAATTATAAATTTAGAATAATATATCCATGTTTTATACTTAAATGGTGTGGTTACAAGAATTGTTTCTATTTATTGCTCTTTAAGTTTTGGTCATTACTTTTTTAGATTAGGTAACATGATTGAGTTACAGGATCCTGTTTAAGTCCTTTAGACCATTTAACTATAAATTTAAACAAAATCTTAAGTCTTGATATAAACTCAACTAATATGTATCTTCTTCAGCTTTTAAAAATGATTTACTTATTTATTGAAAGATAGAGTTACAGAGAAAGAGGCAAAGACAAGAGACAGTGAGATCTTCCATCCTCTAACTCACTCCCTAAATGACTACAATGGCAAGGGCTGGACCAATCCAAAGCCAGGAGCCAGGGAACTCCATCAGGGCCTCCCACAGCAGCGGCAGGGGCCCAAGCACTTGGCCATCCTCTGCTGCTTTCCCAGGGACAGTAGTAGGGAGCTGGATCAGAAGCAGAGCAGCTAGATTTATATATATATATATATATATATATAAAGATTTATATATATATATAAAGATTTATTCATTTTTATTGGAAAGTCAGATATACAGAGAGGAGGAGAGACAGAGGGAAAGATCCTCTATCCGATGATTCACTCCCCAAGTGACCACGATGGCCAGTACTGTGCTGATCTGAAGCCAAGAGCTCTTCCAGGTGTCCTACATGGGAGCAGGGTCCCAAGGCTTTGGGCCGCCGTTCTCGACTGCTTTCCCAGGCCACAAGCAGGGAGCTGGATGGGAAGCAGGGCCGCCGGGATGAGAACCAGCACTCATATGGGATCCCAGTGCGTTCAAGGCAAGGACTTTAGGCGCTAGGCCACGCTGCCAGGCCAGGCCCAGCAGCCAGAATTTGAACCAGCACAATGTTGGGATGCCAGTGTTGCAGAAAGCTGTTCAACTCACTGTGTCACAAAGCCATCTCCATAACTTTAAAATTAGGACGAAGGTAAGGTGCACTCCCCAAATGCCTGCCAAGGGCAGAGCTGGTGGGCTCAGTCCACGTCTCGCACACAGTTGGCAGAAACCCAGGGACTGGATCCATCAGTAATGCTTCCCATTAGTAAGAAACTGGAGTTGGGAGCCAGAGGTTGGCATTGAATTCAGGCACGTAACTGTTGCTTTACTCCTGTTCCAAACATGCGCTCCTGGATTTTTATGCACACAGAAACTGTCCTTGACAGTTAAACCAACTTGGTACAAGATTGGGCAGCCCCACTGGTTCAGTCTCTAGTGAAGGCCTTCTTGGTTACACCACAACGTGGCAGAACAGTGGCAAGGTGTTGAATGTCTCTTCATGTTTCAAAGGTTTGGCCCCGAAGGTGGCAATTTTGGGAGATGATGGAACCTTTTGGAAGGGGGACCTGGTGGGAGATCCTTGGGTCTTTGTGGGGTAAGCTCTCAGAAGGTAGTTTCTGGAACCAGGCTTATTATAAAAAGCCTGATGTTCCTTGGTTCACCTGGTGCTTTCTTTGATGCATACTCGGCTATTTTTCATGGGCCACTCACCAGAGCTAAAGCCTGCACCATGTCTTTTGGACTTTGAACCTACAAAACCATGAGGTAAATCAACACTTTGGCTATCATCCTCTCCCTTCCCAGGAGGGCATTGAATCAGAAGTGGGCCAGGACTGGTTCTCAGATAGAGGCTTAACACACTGGGCCACAGTGCCTGTCCCTCTGCTTCTTGAAGTTTTAGAACCATTGATGAAAAAAAAAAGAAAAGAAAAGACCCTTTAAATAAGCACATTAAAAGGCACTATTGGGGATAAGCGTTGTGCAAAAGGTAAGCCTGCGCAGGCAGAGTCTCTGGTTTGAGTTTCATCTCTGCTTCCCTTCCAGCTTCCTACTGATGTCCACCCTGGGAAACAGCAGCTCAAGTATTTGGGTTCCTGCTGCCCAGGTGGGAGTTTCTGTCTCCTGGCTTCTTGAAGCTATTTGGGGAGTGAACAGGAGAATAGAACTAAAAAGAAAGAGTGAGCGTGTATGTGTGCGCGCGCATGTGTGTGTGTCCCTCACCTTGGAAACAAATGAGCTCTCCTGTTTTACTCACCAGGTGAGCAAAGATGAGCGAGATTGAAGCGCTGAGTGCTAACGCGTCCCAGACACTCCGTGTAGCTGGCAGGAGTGTAAAGCGACAGGTTTCTAGAGCGCAGTCTGGCAGGATATGAAAACTTGAAACTTATTTACCCTTTCCTATAGCAGCTTTACTCCTAGCAACTTATTCCAAGTAAATAATGGTGTAGATGCCCTAAGGGTTTTTGCAAGATTTTACTATAGTTTGTTGATTTTTATAGGATTTGTATCTAAACTAGCTGCTTGGTGCAGGCTGAAGAACTTGGTGTCCTTGGTTTATCTCTTAGGCTTCATAAGTCAAGTGGTCTTTGTTCTATCATTCTGGGATTATACAATATACCAGAGATTAGGTGAAGTGTCAGTTTGTGTCATTAAAGATTAATCCTGAGGATTTTTAAAAACAAGAAGTTTGTGCTGAGACCCAAATCATTTTGGACAAATTTGGCAAACTGGGTCCTCTCTTGGGGTTGGACGGTACTGTTGGGGAAGTGACTGGAGTTGGAGATGATGACCAATGCCTGCTCTCCATAGGGGTTGCACTCTCTTAGAAGAGTATGTATTCGGAACCCGGCGCAACAGCGTAGTGGTTAAAGTCCTCTCCTTGCATGCGCCAGGATTCCATATGGTCACCGGTTCTAATCCTGGTGGCCCTGCTTCTCATCCAGCTCCCTGCCTGTGGCCTGGGAAAGCAGTCGAGGATGGCCCAAAGCCTTGGGACCCTGTACTGCATGGGAGACCCGGAAGAGCTCTTGGCTTTGTATTGGCTCAGTTCCAACCATTGTGGCACTTGGGGAGTGAACCATCGGATGGAAGACCCTCTCTGTCTCTCCTCCTCTCTGTATATCTGCCTTTCCAATAAAAATAAATAAATCTTTTTTTTTAAGTATATATTCCTCTGTAATAAGTGTTAATAAAATGCAAATGCCTGTTGCAGTCTCAGAAAGTCACTTTCTTTTCACCTACCAGAAATAACTTATCCAGGGATTTCAAGTACATCTTTTTATTAATTCACTGTACACAAATTAAATGCAGCTTGGAGCCTTGGTACTAAAGAAATGTTTTCCCTATATTCCATTGTAGCAAAACTGTTTTTCTTGCATTGCAAGGATTAAATGAAGTAATTTACCAATCTGCACAAATTCTCTAGCAACAGGTTTTTTCAGCCTTCGTGGGTGTGGGTTCAGGAGAGGTCTGAGAGAGCAGCAAAGAACAGGAGCACCTGTGTCCAGGCTGTGGTCACAGGGTTCTAAACAGGCTGTGAAGGGACTGAAATTCACGTCACGATGCCTATTGGTACCTCTTGCATGCTCACAGATCAGACTATTCAGAGCCTTAAAATTGGGGAAATTACTGCTTCCTACATAGCACTGTTAAGTATGCAGGCTCTATGCAAATTACTGCTGATTTGAAATATTCTTCTGCCAGCATGCTAAGTAACAGTGAGCACAGGATGAGCTTTGGGAATGCTCTGAATGGCTGGGCAATCACAGAAGGGTTGCAGGATGTGTTGAACCAGCAGGAAGTGGTAAAACCCCCCGTGTGGCTCCTGTGACCCCTCTATTTTGCCTGACCTGTGAGGGTCCTGCATGTGGCCGTGACTCAGTACGTGACTCAGTAAGGGAAGATTAAAAGGGGAACTGTAGGGGGCAGACATATGGTACATTAGTTAAGTACCTTACATGGGAGATCTCGCTGTCTCTGCTTCTGCCTTTCAAATAATCAATAATTACAAAATTTTAAACAAAGAACTTGAGTACAAGTCTAAGTTTGTTTTGTTTAATTGAGATGAATTTTAGTTTCAGCTCTAATAACTGGCATTATTGTTTCTAATCTCCTGGCACCATTGGACTCTCCCCAGCCCTGTGTCTCTGACAGTGCCAGCTGTCAGTTCTCTGGCTGGCTTCACAGCGTCCCTGGAAGTGTGTTTGGTGAGTTCTAAATTGTGCATATTCCTGTCTTTTAGGGGTGCTTTCTGATCAAGCACACTGTTCCAGATTACACAGCCCAAGGATGAATGTTCACCGTGGTGCTGACAGTGACAGGTTATTGCGGCCAGAGGCCAGCTGCCTAGCGGATGATCCTGCAGCCTCAGTCCAAGAGAAAGAAACAAACAGCCTGGCTTCCCCTGGTCTTCATAATCTTCCTTATCCCCTGGGTCCCAGAAGTGAAGGTATGGCTTTTAGCTCCTCACTGAGTTCAGATTTCTGATGTGTGAATGTCTCCTCTGCCCAGGAGATAGGATATTCAACTTGATCTAGTATCCTATAAACTGGCATCGTTTACACATCACAAAAGCTGTCCTTCACAGAAAAACACTTTTTGAATCAGTGTAGCACATCTTACTTGGTGAAGCTTTTGAAGTCAGAATCCCAACAGATTCAGATTCTAGCTCTGCCACACATCAGCTGCAGCCATGCGTGAGGTGCTCACTCGGAGCCATGCCTCCTTACTCCACAAACACTGCTGTTCTTCCTCCCTCAAGGCTGCGGGGCTAATGAGTTATCAGGTGTGCAAGCTCTGATTAGTACGAAACTATATCCATGGCAACAGTGCTACCACTTATTGAGTATGCACTGTTCCACAACTTGGTATACATTCTTTAGATCAACTGTGGCCAAGACTACGCCCTGCCAAACCTGCAGTATTTACTTTCTGGCCTTTCCAGATGTTGCTGATCCCTCCTGTGTCTAGATGCATCCTCATGACCATCATCCTCATTTTACAGATGAGGAAAGCGAGGCTTAGAGAGCTGAGCTAACTGGCACAGGCACAGCCTGCTAGTAGGCAAGAGGCTGGGATATGAGTCTTTCTGACCAGCACTTGGCTTCTACCCCCAGTTACCCCACTGGGGGAAATCTATACAGTGAGTCTCTTCCTACTCGTCTTTTTCCAGAGATTCAGGAATCAGCCAGTGTAATTGCTTCTTGCTGGGGGAAGCAACTAAATGAGTGATGCAGAGGCTTGTTTCATTTCTAACAGCAACTTAGAGAATGAAGTCCAATGAAGAGTGACCAAAGTGTTTCTTAATACAGGTTATCTGTGGGTTGTATGGAAGGCTATGCAAACCCAAAGCCATAGTGGAAATGTATCAGAAACTGTAGAATGTGAACTCTAAGAAGGTTTTGGTCTAAATTTTGGTTTCCTTTTTGTCTATAAACAAATAAGAAGAAAATGAGAGTCCTGTAGCTGGCAATGTGTTTGGTTATCAGTGTGAGGGAAAGAGTAACGGAAAGTTTGGCCAAAATCTAGGAAAATACTAACCGAGTTGTAAATCTAGGTGAGATGGACCCATGCATATTGAATTGTCCACGCTCTGTATGACATTTGTCATCACTTTTTTTTTTTTTTGTTTTACACATGATAGCATGTCCATTAGAAGTGTCCTGGTAATCCTTCTGTAAATACTCCTAGTTGTCTCCTTATACATGCAGATTTTAGACCTTGGGTTTGAAGTCTGTATAATATCAAGCAATAGTTTTTAAGTGCACTCAGTCACTAATGAAAAGAACTCTGTGAAGGATATGGAGTAAACATCTTCATGCTCACATTGCAGATAACAGACCAGGGTTAAGAAAAGTAAATATGCCGTTTAAAGAAAGCAACTTTTTGATGTTGCTCAAAAACTGAAATAACGTGCATAAATCCTAATGCGCTGAACTTCACTACTCAGAAGCCCTGTCTGTTCACACGTGCTCTAGGATTTTCCTGTACATGGTGATGAAGTGTTTTCTGGGGATTTCTAGAAAAAGTGATTCTTATGACTTGTTCTGGAAAACAATATTTAAAAACAATTGAAAAGAATGTGAAAATGGAGAGTTGGGGCGCATATTAAGAGTAGCATGTGGCAGTAGATGTGAAAACAGAAGCAGGAAATCAATGGCTTCTGCACACTCACACCAAAAGAGTCGCAGTGGCGGGGCCTGCTGGTCTCCTGCTCTGTATATCTGTATACATGTCCATCTGTACTTTCAGATTTTGAAATTATTTAAAATGTGGGCATCCATACCTTCAGTCCCACCTACCTGGCCCCACACCACACATAGCTGTACATGGAAACAGACCTGAGGGAGGTTAGGTGTTTCCTGTTTGTAGTTATTTTGCTGTAGACAGCACCTGAAAGTTTGGTTCTCTGTTTGCTTGCTTATTGTTTGTTTTAAGAAGTGAGGGCTGATTTTTCCCCAAGGCTGTGGCTCTCGAGTTATTTTGATTTGTTTGTATGATCTTTTAGACCTTTCACTTGACTATGCTTCTCAGCCAGCAAATCTTCAGTTCCCTCACATAATGCCACTTCCCGAAGACATCAAAGGCTCTTGCTTCCAAGGTGGGAATAAACGGAACCATGAACCCTTTATTGCTCCAGAAAGATTTGGAAACAGTAGTGTGGGCTTTGCCAGTAACTCCCATTCCCAAGCGCCAGAGAAAGTGACGCTTCTTGTGGATGGCACACGTTTTGTTGTGAATCCACAGATTTTCACTGCTCATCCGGATACCATGTTGGGAAGGTAACTGATGATCATTTCCTTCCAGATTTGCTCTGTTCTCTATAAATAGAAATACCTGCTATTTATCTTGCATTGGCTGTGAGAGTGAAAAGCACTGCACTGCTTATTTTTCTGCCCTCCTGCTTCTGTGAAAAAGGGAGGACAAGCCGGGAAAACCTTCCGTTATTGGTGACTTGGGGCGGAGGGGGTGTTCCTGTGCAGAGCCCGTGAGGTGCATGTGCCTGTGGGAGAGACCCTGCCCAGTGCCCGTGCCTGCTCTCTCACTTGCTCTGCAGTTGGGATAAGGTGAGACCTGAGTCATGCTCTCTTTGCTATGCATAAAAGATGGAATTGGGCAAATGGTCCACATGATCTAAGAACATTTTTCCAAAAAGCCCTTCCTCTGCTGCCTGTTACTAGCTTTAGGCTTGTCCACAGGAGCCCTGCTGTCATTTTCTAATGGCTCAAGTCCTTTGAAAGGGAACCTTTTTACTTAGCTCTTCTGTGACTTCATGATTGCTCTCCATCTTCATGTCCCATTGTCTGCGTGTTCATGTAGACCATGGTCATCTCCTCTCACCATCTCTTTCCTCTCTCCCTCCTCACCCCTGCCACCTTTCTGGATTAGATTTGAGAAATCAAAATAGGCTGCTCAGGAGGGGTGCTGGGCGGGAGGTGCTGTGGGAACTCCCTCCTGGACAACCACAAGCTTTAACATGAGAAAGAAAAGATTGGGATGAGTTTCAAAAAGAAAAAAAAAAAGTAATAATGACAGTGTGACTAGAAAACTTTGCTTTTTAGGGAGAGCTACTCCGTAGAAGTAGATTTGAGGCATAAGGTGCATCAGTTACGATGGCACTCCAGGAAGCGCCAAAGGAGTTGGTTTCCTGCCACTCACATAAGGGACCAGAATGAGTTTCTAGCTCCTGATATTTAGGACATTTGGGAAGTCAACTAGTGGATGAGAGAACAGCCCCTACCCCAAATAGGTTTAAAAAATTTTTAAAGGCAGTATTTTGTTTAAAGGTACAACTTCACCCACTACTTGAAACTAATTTGAATTAAATTGGAAATCAGAATGAATCACACTGAATTGCTGAATTCCAAGCTAAATGGGATTCAGCTATTGACTTACGTATAGTATTGAATATATTCACAATGAACCATTTTTATAGAGTCAGATATATCTACATAATTCTCAAGTATCTACATCAAGATGAAAGTAAGATGTTAAAACTTTTTTTTTAATTAGCACTATGTTTTATCAGGCATAACTTCCTGGTCTCAGGTTTAGTGTTACTGCCATACCCAGGCTCACTCCACTCCAGAAAGTATTTCTCAGCCCCAGCTGGCTGTTTTAGAAAAGTCACCTCTGAAAGTAATGATCAACACACGAAAGATGGCAAGCAGTATTTAGCCTAGCAGTGTAGACCCCACATCCATTAAAGCATGTAGATTTACCTCCTGGCTCCAGTCCTCCTTATCATTGTAAACTCTGGGAGGCAGTGGTGATGGCTCAGAAAAGTGGGTTCCCGCCATTCACAAGGGAGAGACCTAGACTGAATTCCCTGTTCCTGGCTCCAGTGCCTAACTGTTGCAGGCATCTGGAGAATGAATCAGTGGATGAGGGCTTATTCTCTACCTCTTTCAAATACATTTGTAAAAGAGAAAGGGGACCAGCACTGTGGTGTAACAGGTAAAGTGACTGCCTGCAGCACTGGCATCCTACATGGGCACTGGTTCAAGTCTCAGCTCCTCCTCTTCCAATCCAGTTCCCTGCTATTGCGCCTAGGAAAGCAGCAGAGTATGACTCAAGTTCTTGGGCTCCTGCACCCATGTAGAAGACTTGCATGAAGCTTCTAGCTCTTGGCTTCAATTTGGCTCAGCTATGAATGTTGCAGATATTTGGGGAGTGATAGAATTGCTCTCTCTTTATGTTTCTCCCTTTCTCACTGAAATTCTGCCTTCAAATAAGTACAATAGATCTTTTTTTATTATTATTATTAATTACATATGACACAGTTTTATAGGCACTGGGATTCCCCCCACCCCTCCCCAAACCTTTCCCCCATGGTGGATTCCTCCACCTTGTTGCATTACCACAGTTCAAGTTCAGTTGCGATTCTTTCTTTGGAAGCATCTACCAAGCATAAAGTCCAGCATCTTATTGTCCAGATAAGTTCAATGGCTTCTTGGGGAGACCATCTCTGGTGTGAAGGTAGAGCCGGCAAAGTATCATCCGGATCAATTAAAAGTTCCAACATAACATCAGCAACAATTTATAATGTTATGGAATTACTTGACATAGTATTGAGTAACCAATATGTTAAGAGAAGGAAAAAAAATGCCAGTTCTTAACTATATCCTGTGACTTCTTCATTGACATTTCAATTTTAGTTTATATACAGCTGGGTTCCATATACCTTAAAAAGGTTATAGATTATTATTCAGCTGTCTCATGTCTATTTTCATTATAGTATTTAGCATTTTATAGCGTTGAAGCATAATTTTGCTGAACCTGGCTGTTTTTCGGGTAGTCTAGATTGGCTTATAACTCGTCAACAGTTTAGGTGCAGAACAGTTTTAGGAAAGTACAATAGATCTTTGAAAATAGAAAGGCAAGCCTTTTCTGAGTAATGGATTTTGGTTCTTTGAATCTAGAAAAGGGTTGTTCCATGAAGAGGGAAGTCTGCTTCTTAATTGAAGTGGCTCATTCAGCTGCATAGACTCACAGATTCTCTAAGTTACTTAAGCTTGTTATGCCTATGGCTACACACATTATTTGTAAGCCTAACCAGTGAGCACCCGAGTGAGGACACTAGTACAAAGAGGGATGGATGGAGAGTAAGAATGACTAATACAGGTGCGTGCTGCTGCTAGGTGAACACTGAGTCAACTAATGAAGGGAGAGGCAGGTAATACAGCATTTGTTCACTGTATTGATCCATAGCTCTCTTAGCTAGACTTTAACTGGAGCATTCCGGAGAAACATCACTGTTCTTTGGTGACTGCCTTTATCAGGATGAGCTTGGGCATGACACAGAGTGATTGGGAAAACACGTGAGACTGTATGAAAGTTCAACAGCAGCACTTCCCAGCATGTTAAGGAAGGAGTTTGGGAAATCAACTAAGGCTGACCAAAGATAGCCAGGACTTGCCCCGCCTTTGTGCTGTCTTCCCATCCCGCAATCCTGCACGTGCATGGCAGGAGTAGGAGTCGTGGGCTCAGTGAGACAGAGGAGAGCTGAGAGAAGAGCCCAAGGATGAGGAGAAGTGAGTAGGAAAAGCAGGTCCTCATCCCCATTGCCCCGAGCCGAGTCCAAGTTTGTGACCAGAGCAGGCCTGCCTCTCTGAAGAGCGTGGGACTGCTGATAAAGCTTGAATAAAAGCATGTTCCCAGAGTTCCACCATTGAGATATGTCCAATACATGAATTTAGCTGCACCTGCTACTACAGATTTGTCTGTCAGATTGGATGCTAAAAGCCAAACTCAGAAATATTGGAGGGGAGCAAAATATTGAGGAGAGAAAGCAGGAAAGATGAGGAGCTGAGGTGCACTTTTTTGACTCCCCAGTGTATCTTGGGCAGCAGGGAGGGCCATGAGAAGCAATCACCACACCTGCAGGCACTGTTTCCTGCCTCGCTGTCCACATGAAAGCCTTGAGGGCTTCCTGTTTCCTTCCTCCTCCTTACACACAAGTGCTCAAAGCAACTGCTGCTTTTCCTGTCTGTAGGGAGCTTCCTAAGATTTTCGCACATTATGTAGGAGATGGATCCCAATGCTGCTTGTCCCTTGCACAGTGTGAGAATGGATGAGGTGGAGCAGGGAGAGGTCTCATCTGGAGGAGGTCACGTTGTTGCCTGGGTGTCTTTCAGGATGTTTGGACCAGGAAGAGAGTACAACTTCACGCGGCCCAACGAGAAGGGAGAGTATGAGATTGCCGAAGGAATCAGTGCCACTGTATTTCGCACAGTGCTGGTGTGTACTTTTTGTCCCTGTGTTCCCTCTTCCCCAGAGGCATGCCTGGGCAGCAGCCTTGGAAGTCCTAGCAGCTGTGTCCTGACTTCAGGGGCTCTGCTTTCCAGGTGCTGCCTGTCCCTCTTTATCGTCTGTTCTGCACTGTGAGCCCTGCTCATTTGTGTGGGCATGGTCGTAACCAGGTTCTGATTAAATGTGAGCAGGATGGCCAGGAGCCACCTTGCTGCCTGCCAAGTCAGGTGATCATCCCAGTCACTCCCCAGTCTCACAGAACCATCAGGGAAGAGGGTTGGAGAAATGATCCCTCATTTCCTCTTGGCCTCCAATTCGTCTTCCTCATCTGCTTACAGGATTATTACAAAACTGGTATCATCAATTGTCCCGATGGCATCTCTATCCCAGACCTTAGAGACACATGTGATTATCTCTGCATTAACTTTGACTTCAACACCATCCGATGCCAAGATCTGAGTAAGTACAGGAGCCATCACCGGCAGCGCTGGCGTGCTGAAACTGACATTTTTATAACTAAACAGAAGGCGTTTAAAGTGTGGGTTGAAAGTTGTTGGCTGAGGCAGGGATGTGATAATAAATAACCCATTTCCTCCACTGCTTCAAAACATTGTGAGGAAGTGGAGCAACAAAGGAAAACAGGTAGTAAGTTCTAAATTTAGCTTGACTGGTGAACAGCTCACCACACTAACTGCTTCCCTCTTGGGACCCTGGTTTCTCAACTCTGACAAACAAGGACACCGACCAGCATGAAGAGAGGCTCACTGCAAAAGACAGCTAGCAGAGACTGGCTGGGCTCTGTGTTACTATTTTAAAGATTTATTAATTTTTTATTACAAAGTCAGATATACAGAGAGGAGAGACATAAAGATCTTCCATCCTATGACTCACTCCCCAAGTGACCACAATGGCCAGTGCTGAGCCGATCCAAAGCCAGGAGCCAGGAACCTCCTCCAGGTCTTCCACACAGGTACAAAGTCCCAAGGCTTTGGCCGTCCTCGACTGCTTTCCCAGGCCACAAGCAGGGAGCTGGATGGGAAGTGGGGCTGCTGAGATTAAAACCGGTGCCCATATGGGATCCCAGCGCATTCAAGGGGAGGACTTTAGGTTGCTAGGCCATAGTACCAGGCCCCTGTGTTACTATTTTGTCACTGATTTTATTTAACAAATCCACCAAATTGGGCTTCCTTTATTTATTTATTTGTTTATTTGAAAGGCAGAGTGACAGAGAGGGAGCGATAGAGAGCTTCTATCTGCTGGCTCACTCCCCAAATGCCTCTCACAGTCAGGGCTGGGCCAGGCTGAAGCCAGGAGCCAGGAATTCCAGCCTTGTCCCCCTTGTGGGTATCAGGAATCCAGGCACATGGGCCAGTAGCCACTGCCTCCTTAGCACATTAGCAGGAAGCTGGATTGAAAGGACAGAGTAGCTGGGACTCAAACCAGACACTCTGACATGGGATATGGGTGTCCCAAGCAGTAGCTTCAACCACTGGCCTTAAGGCCTGCCTCTTTCTCACTGTTTTAATGTAATGTTCATTAACTGCTGTGCAGTTATGGAGTCACTGAAGTTTTTTTTTTTCCTAAGATTTTTTTTTTTTTTTTTTTTTTTTTGCTTTCGGATGGCCATGGCGGTGATAGATGTGTGGTCCCCTGCTCTCCAGCCGCGCTGACCCGGCCAGGAGCATTCGCTGCACCCCCGGGACGCTATGGAAGTCCAGTGTCCAAGCAGAAGCTGGCCGCCTGGTGCATCCAGTGCCGGCTGCGCTCCTAGGCGTCCCCCTCGGATGAGGACCTGACTTTTGTACCCCGTAACTGCAGGAGAGCAGGTAGCCCAGTGGAGGTGTGCACAGCCCCTGGTTCTCCAGCCTGAGGAGACCCCAGGGGGCAGCCAGCTCCCAGCCACAGCTACATGAAGGACCAGCCCACATTGGGGCTGTGGTGGACGCCGCTTATCCCCAAGGCATGGCAGAATTGAAATAAATAAATGATAGTGTAAAAAAAACAAACATTTTTTAATTGGATTTTCCTCTCCTTCTCTCTGTAAGGAAAATCTTCCATCTGATGATTCACTCCCTGAGTGGATGCAATGGCCAGAGCTGAGCCAATCTGAAGCCAGGAGCCTCTCTGGGTCTCCCACATGGGTGCAGGGTCCCAAGGCTTTGGGTTGTCCTTGTCTGTTTCTCCAGGTCACAAGCAGGGAGCTGGATGGCAGGCAGGGCCACCAGGATTAGAAATAGCACCCATATGGAATCCTGGAGCATGCAAGACAAGCACTAGCCACAACGCTACTACGTCAGGCCCACCACTGAAGACTTAAGTAAATTAACTCTGAAAGATGGATGATAACTTCATTTAGCCAGTGAGAAGCCTGAAAACTTGGTTTGAAGCTTTAAGCTTTATGAAAGCAAAGATTAAAATTCAGATTGCCTGGTTACAAATTTCTGGGCATCCTGACATTTTTACAGAATTGTTCCTTAGTGTTCCTAACGCATTTGTCTGCAAGTTGCACCGACACCCTTGGGTTGGTACTCCATGGGGTCCTTTAACTCGACGGGCTCAGGCCCCGGGGCATCTGCAGGAAAGATGCTGCAGTCATTGCCAGTGGGGCCGCCTCATGCAGAATCCACGTCTGCTGTGTGGCACTGGCTCTCTGCCACAGCACTCCACGAGTGTTAGTGCAAAGTTGAAGGAAGCATGGTAGAGTTGGTCTTTACACACACCTCTCCTCTGGACCTGTTAGCAGCTGTCACCTCAGGCTGTCCGCAGTCCCATCAGCCAGAAAGCTTGTTGAGCTTTGGTCTCTCTCCCCAGGTGCTCTGCTGCACGAACTGTCCAACGACGGGGCTCACAAGCAGTTTGATCACTACCTCGAAGAACTCATCCTGCCCATCATGGTCGGCTGTGCCAAGAAAGGGGAGCGGGAGTGCCACATCGTTGTGCTGACGGATGAGGATTCTGTGGACTGGGACGAAGACCACCCTCCACCCATGGGGGAGGAGTATTCCCAAAGTAGGAGACCCCTGCATGGTGTGGAAATCTTTGGCAAGGAAAACACCTTCCAGGGTAGCGGCGCCCCCTGGTGGCCGTGTGCAGCTCACTGCTGTGGTGGTGAGGAGCACCCAGCGGTGCCAGCCCGGCCTTTGTGCTAGAAAGTGGAGTGCACTTGCCCCTCGCACGCCACCCCTGCTGTGTGTCTTGCTCAGAGATTAAATGTCTATATCATTTTCCTCTTCTTCGTTTAAAAACTGTTTTTCTGTTGTAGTAACTCAAAATTCAAAAATATAAAATTATATACATTTTTTTTAAAATCTTCCTACCTGTGCCCTCCTTACTAACCACCACTTTTTTTCTTCCAGTTCTTTATAGCTCTAAGCTCTACAGATTCTTCAAGTATATTGAAAATCGGGATGTTGCAAAAACAGTATTAAAGGAACGGGGCCTGAAAAACATTCGCATTGGAATTGAAGGTAAAGAACAAATCCTGGTCAGTAGGCAGATCTGCACCTGGGCACAGGCTGCCCATCTGTAACCACAGCTTATGTCCTCAAAATTCAGAGAATGGGCACGCAGTAGAACCCTGCTCTCACTCAGGTATACAGGAGTCCTGATTGTCGTTTCTGTTCTCATATTGCATAGTTCTGATGTCATGTTGCAATTTAGAAATTAGAACCACTCTGAACAGTCTTGCGCAGTGGCTCCCACCTTGTGGTCCCCGAGGAGGGGCTTCATTCTTGGAGGATGGTGCAGCCATCCTAGTCTGCCTTCCATGGATCTTTGCCTCTGGTGCTTTGCTATTTTTACCATTTCACTTAAAAAGAAAGTTATTTGAAAGGTCAAGACAGTTCCATCTGCTTGTTCACTCCCCTGTTTACTACAGCAGTCAGGACTAAACCAAACTGCAGCTAGGAGCCAGGAACTCCATTCAAATCTCTCACCTGGATAACAAGACCAGATGCTTGGCCTGTCATCTGCTACCCTCCCAGGCCATCACACAGTGAGCTGGACTGGAAGCGGAGTAGCTAGGACTTGAACCGGTACTCCAATATCAGATGCCAGTTTTCTAAGTGGTGGTTGGAACCCATTGCACCACAGCACTTGGCCCGTACAACTGCCTCATTTTTGCACATTCAACCTATTAGATCTCCATTCTATCTTTGTAGAATTTGAAGTGGAAAAAAGTTTTGAGATGGTCCATTAAATATGCTTCGGCTGTGCCTATGTGGAAAACCACAGGGACATGGTGATGAGGGGTCACAAACCCAGGGCAGCCCATCCAACTGTTGATTAGAAATGTTTCCATTCATTGGGTACTCCTGCCTTCTAAGTGTATTCTCTGAAGATACTCAGAATAAGATTCTCACATTTGCATGTGACAGCCTGCCAGGTATTTTTGGCAGTAATCTTACTTTTTTAGGCTAAAATCACACATTTCCTTAACTTTCTCATAAAGCATGCCCTCTAAGCACAGAATCCAGGGGACTGGAGTAGCCATACCAAGGAAGGATTCTTCTATGATATTCTTACCAGCAACTGAAGTCTCTTGAAATATTAGAGGCTTCTCTCCTCTTTCATTAAAAGGGCTGGAAGTCTTGTTCCTTTGCTTGGGTTTGTCCTTCTGGGGACAAGCCCTGCTTACCTGAGCAGCAGGGGAGTGGGCATGTAAGTGGCTGGGCAGGGGGCATGCCACAGGCACTTCCCATGTAGTGTTCTTGCTGTCTTTGGGCTTGGGAGGAAATTTGTGTCTTAGGTAAAAGGAAGTATGAATGCCAGAACCCTGACAGCAGCCTTTTTCTGGGTTTCAGGTTACCCTACCTGTAAAGAGAAAATTAAGAGGCGGCCTGGGGGTAGATCTGAAGTCATCTATAACTACGTGCAGCGCCCCTTTATCCAGATGTCATGGGAAAAAGAAGAAGGGAAAAGTCGCCACGTGGATTTCCAGTGTGTTCGAAGCAAATCCCTCACGAATCTGGTAGCTGCTGGGGAGGATGTCCTGGAGGACCAGGAGATCCTCATGCACCACCCACCGCAGGTCGACGAGCTGGACCGGCTGAATGCCCCACTCGCTCAGATGGCTTCTAACGAGTTTCAGGACTGAGGCCTGTGGCAGGGTCCCCCCCTCCCGTCACGGCTGCCCACAGCCAGGACGCCACGTCCTCCCCGTGGTTTGTCTCACCCTGAGCAGGAGACGTGCTTCTCCTGTCCTTTCCCCTATCCCAGGACTAGGGAGACAAAGATCGGCTTGGCAGCAAAAGTGGGTGCTGCTGAAACTTCACACAATCCCAGAAGCAACAGGAGGCCAGGCCTCCCAGCAGTCCTCGTCCTTCAGACTGTCCTGAATTTTTATACAAGGCAAACTAAGTAGTAGCAAAGGGACCAAACTTAGAAGACAATCTCTTATCTTCTAAAAGCAGGCTGACGGGATGCTCGTCAGAGGTTCACAAAGATGCCATTCCCGATGGCCTCTCCTGCCTCTGGGGAGAACTTGGCTCTTAACTCAGAACATCCAAAAGGAAATTCTTTAGAGTGTAAATTCTCAATAGTGCAACAAACAGTCCCAAACCACCCGGGGTTCTTTGGCTGGAAGAATAGCGATGGAACCACGTTTAGGAAACCTTTTTAACCTCAAGGACTTTGAGACTAGGAAAACAGATGATTTGTTTTTGGACTAAAATTCAGCTGTAGTAAGAGAGCCTCCTGTAGCAGGGCAGCTGATTATCCTGGCTGGGAAGCTGGTGTGAAGCCACAGATCTTGACACCCCAGGGCAGCTCATGGCCTTGGGCTTGGCTGGGAGACAGGCAGGAGCTCAGAGCTTTCCAGATGAGGGCCAACACCATTCCCAAGTGCTCAGCTTCCCACATTTAGATGATGCCAGGGAGGGGGAACCATCTGTACAGGGTTGTACATGGGACTTATTGTGTACATTTTTCTCATACCATGGCATTTTTTTTCTAGTTGCATTATATTTGTCTTTTAAATAGCCAACTAGCTACTCACCCAGTAAGAAAATATTACTAATGTCATTCCCTAAGGGAGGGTGAATTGAGAGGAAATGGATCAGCTCTATTAACAGTGCATGTGGCTGTCCCCCCACATCTCTCCTCAGCCCAGGGGAGCTGCAGAGCCCTCCTTGATGTCTCCGTGGTTATTAATAGCAGAGCTTAATTGCAGTACAGAGCTGGAGAGATGATTTGGGGGATTATATCCCACTTTGTGATAGAAGTCGACGTTCTGGTCATCCACCCTCAGCATTTACCATCAGATTGTGAAGAGGCACAGTTGGTTACCTTGCATTCTTTAAGAAAGAATATGACTGGATTTTGTAAATTTCATTCTGACATCATGTAGGATGAGCCATTTCATTTTGTTTACGAGTGTCGTAGTCCCAGTCCTCAAAAACAAGCAGTTCCTGAAAGCTCCTGCTTCCGGGCCGGGCCAGGAGCGCTCCTGGGAAGTGTTCGCTGTGCCCCACACCTCCCACAGCATGCTGACGATCACTGGCCTACATCTGCCGGGTGCCGGCCGGCACTTAGGCTGGGGTTGTTTGTAGCCAGAAGGTAGTTTTCTTTCTGTAAAACCAGTTGGTTCATGTTGGAGGTCAGGTTGGGTTTTGCCTTTACCAGCACCACACTCGCCCTCAGGAGCGTCTGACCAGCCCAGCAATTGTTCAATGGTGCTTCCTTTAAGCGTGATTTTCATTGACATTACAAAGAAAGTTGAATTATCTAATGTTTATGTAGTCTGCAGTATGTATAACTTATTAGTTTATGTTAAGCATTTAAGTGTAAACACACACACTTTGATTAGTGCTTAAGTAGGTTTAAAAAAAAAACAGGCTAGATATCAAAATATGGCATGTACTTGATCCTTTGTTCTGTGTAACCAATTAATTTCCTCAAGCTTTCAACAACTTGACTTCCCAAAATGGGTTAAAAGGCTTTGGCCCAAACCCATAATATTTAATTAAGTGGAAGTCTGAAGAGGAGTCTACTGGTGTCATCAGTGGTGGCACCTCAGGACCAGCTGGGACCGCAGGCCCCTTACTACTGTGCCCCACCTGCGGCCCAGCATCACTGTTGCTGGATGGCTCCCCCAGCCTTGCCTTCTTTGTTCCCCGGGTCAGGGCATTCCATGAAGGAAAGACCTCTTGTCCTCACAGGATCAGACAGGGGTGGTTGCAGTCATCCAATTAAGAGCCCATTACTATGGGCAAGAGGCATTTCTAATAAAAGAGGTGGGATTGGGTTGGTGTTTCTAAGTGCCTAAATAAGAAAACTGGGTTGTTTCTACAGAAAACATTTTCGTAAGAAAATGGTTTTGCCCAGACTGTCTTCCTTAGAACAGCTCAGCAGGCCAAGATGAAACTTGGAGATTTAGAATCTTGAGTTTGTGTCTGCATCATATCATGTAGAGCTGATTAGGAAACAGTTGTTGGGAACTGGAAAGCCCAGTGTTAGATGTGTCAGGTTAGAGTATTTCTTGATGTTTCCACAGTAGAGGGAGACAGGAATGGCAAAATATGTCAGGAAGATAGAAAGGAGCTAGATTATGATACAATATGCAATAGCAACATTCTTTTAAGCTAAATTCCAAGAGTACAGTGTGATTGATACAGGTCTGTGAAAACACTGCAGAGGAAGCTTGCGCAGGACAAATGTACTTGGAAATAGTGTTCCAAGGGGCCTGAGGTAAAATTTCCAGAGCAAGACTTCAACTCAGACTCTGCATTACAATGTGATCAAGCCTTTTTTGAGTGTCAATAGAATGTTAAAAATCAAGGGACTTTAGTAATTTGTTAAATGCCACTTCTTGCCATCATTTTGAAACTTCAGATGGGCACAGGAGTTCAGAAAGCAAACTAGAGGCCTTCATGGAGTGGGAGCAGCACAGAGCTCCGTGTGGGTCAGCTCTGCCGGGGAAGGATCAGCACATTTTCTCCTAAAGGCAAAATGTGTAGGTTTTGCCTCTTTACTTTGTATTTACTACAGAAGTTGCACTTGTTCACCTACCAGTGTTTACGAAATCCTGTATTGGAGATTTTTTTCTATAATAAAGTACTATCATTTGTGTGTCCATGTTGCTTCTTAGCAGAAAACAAGAGGGATGCCAGGTGTCAGAAGGGACTTGGGAGAATGGCACCTGCTACAACCATCTCCTCCTTTCCCAGAGGGGAGAGGGGCTGGCTGCCCTGTGGGCCTGTGTGGTCATTCAAGACTTCATTTAAACAGTTAATCATGACCCCACACAGCCAAACGTAAACCTGAAAGAGGATCTACACACTGTCTAATTTTGTTCTAAACCAGATGAGGGGCAGGGGACGGTGTAGCAAATTAAGCTGCTACCTTTGACAATGGCCACCTGTTCAAGCCCCAGCTGCTCTGCTTCTGATCCAGCTCCCTTTCAGGGAGCCCAAGTGCTTAGACATCTGTCCCACATGTGGGAGACCCAGATAAAGTCCCAGGCTCCTGACTGGCCTGACGCAGCCCCAGAGGTTACAGACATTTAGGGAGTGAAACAGCAGATGAAAAGATAAAATCTAATACTTTGAAAATAATTATCCCTTTAAAAGGGTCACTGAAGACTTTATCACAGGAATATAGTTGAAGCCACGATGTGGGGGAGATCACGAAATGATGATGGGTGAGGAGCAAGCACCAACACTGAAGTTGTGGGCAGAGGAACTGCCAAGGAGGAAGCTGGGGAGTGGGAGGAGAGTTCAAAGAACGTCCACCAGTGTGGGTGCAGCATGTTGATCAGGCAAAGAAAGGAGAATTCACTGGAGACAACAAAACCGGTGGCCAGAAGAGTAACTTGCATCAAAATCAATACTAGCATGCTAATACAAACATGCTTCGACACTAACATGTTTCACATGTGGAATAGAAACCAGACTGGAACAAGTTGAAGGAGAAAAGGAATTGAGGAAGTGGTTGCAGAACGTTCCTCATGCCACTCTTCCCCAAGGAATACTGTGCCTGTATCACAACACAGGAGACACCCACCAGCCTCCCGAACCCTGCTCACGTTCTCTGCAGATTCCTACTCAAAAACACCTCCGGGAAGCTTCTCCACAACGTGTCTCCAAGGTGGCTTGTCAGCACTGCAGCATCAATGGTAACACTGGCCGCCTCACTGTTAGGCCATGTTAGGCCATGTGCTGAGTGGCAGTCCTCTCCTCAAACCCATCTACACTTCAGAACCATGGCAGGTTCCCTGCTGCATCCAAAGAGCCCCAGGACGGAGCTCTGTAAGTGATAGAAGCTAAAAGTTTTGGACAATATATGTTTTTCCTGAAAGTATCAGTGAAAAGTATCATGGAAGCTGAGTCTTGCCTTTGACAATCATTCCAGGGAAACATGCAGAAAATTAAAGAACCATTCACTGAATCATTTTCAGGTTTTTGTTTTTTTAAGATTTTCTTGAAAGAGTTACAAGGGGAGAGGGAGAGGCAAAGATCTGTTGGTTCACTCCCCAAATGGCCACAACAGCTGGAACTGGGCCGGTCAGGAGCCAGGAGCTTCCTCTGAGTCTCCAACAACTTGAGCCATCCACTACCGCGTTCCCAGCGTGCTGGATTGGAAGTGGAACAGCCAGGACATGAACCTGAACCTATAAGGGATACCAGCATAGGTCTAGGCTTAGCCTACTACGCCCTTGCACTGGCCGCTTCATTCAGGTTATCACATTGTTTGGATTACACAGAGACCCAAGAGGGACAAAGGATGTAAGGTGGTCTTGTGCTTTCCAAGGCAATGATTGTGACAGAAAACATTAGTAATCAGTTTGCATAAGTCTTTCAAATAGCAATCTGCCATTCAGAATATGGATATTAATCGTAAAGGAATGTGTGCAAATCTTCTGAAAGCTATTCTAACAAGAGTTGGGTACTGAAGAAAACCCTGATGCACTCAATCAAGCATGGACTGCATGTCCTCAATATTGTTTCAAATGCAGTGAAGCTCTTAATAGAGCAAAGTTCTGTTATTTTCTGGAGCCAGTGCTGTGGTGTATCAGGTAATACCATTACCTGTGACACCAGCATTCCAGATGACATTCGACATAGCTGCTCCACTTCCAATCCAGCACCCTGTTAAAGGCCTGGAAGATGGCCCAAGCGCTTGGGTCCTTGTTACCCACATGGGAAACCCAAAGAGAGCTCCTGGCTCTGGCCTGGCCTGATCTTGGCTGATGTGGCTATATTGGGAGTGAACCAATAGATGGAAGATCTCTTTCTCTGACTTTCAAAATAAATAATTAAAAAAATAATTTTAAGTTATATTATTTTCTAACTTCTCAATAACACCTTAGAAAGACAGGACCCACTCTGGCTGCACTGAGCTTCCCTCTGCCTGCAACTTCTACTCTAGGTGAACAGAGAGGCTGGCAGTAGTGTTTGGTTATCAGGAGCTATTCTCTCCTGGGCTGCCATCACAACCAAGAGACTGCTGTTGGCCCCACACATGCACCTCTCACAAGGCTCAGTGTTCCAGGGCAAGGGCACCTGCCTTATGGTAAGGCCAGTGCACCTGCTGAAAAAATGCTGCCAGCTGGAAGACTCCCTTTTTCTCTCCTCCACCCCCACCCCCTTGGTCTGGAATTAAGCAGGGAGCTCACGGGATTACAGGGTGGAATTCTCAGGCCTCCAGGTACCCCAGGGCAGGGTTATTTCCGACATGTAGCATACTGTTCCACATCTCAGCCCCTTCTCTGAGGAAAGCCTCTGTGAGATCCAGAAGCAGTTTGCACAGTGGCCGGGGGACAAAAAGGTGAAGAAAAGCCACCAGCATGCCGCCTCTGTGGATTCCGAGCCACATCTACTGAAAATAATCACAGAGCTCCACTTGTGTTTTCACACCATTTATTCATAAGTTTCAAAGTTTAAAATGTGGGTATTTCCCAAAACAAATCATCCTCTGCCACTCCACACACACAGACTCTACTACACTCTTGTCACTACTTCTCTTTTTCGTGCTTACCACACACTGTTACAAAAACACACAGGGGTCAAGACCCAAATACTTGGTAATAAAGAAGTGACAGAGGAATCGCACTTACTTCCTTTTTGCCAACAGACTATGCATGAAAGACTAAGGGGCAAACACCTTCATCCAGAGCTGACTTCACTAACATTCTTTTCTTTTCCTCTAAGACATTAAAACCTAAAGCAATTTCTCTTACAGCTGTGACTCTGGCTATCCCACTGTTCTCTTCTGAGTGGCTAAGCTAGGACACACTTTCCTTTCAAAGCTACTTTTCACAACCTCAAGATGGACAGAAAGCAGTTGTCCGGTTGTAACTTGACCAGGATGCTGTGTGACAGGCAAACTTACCACAGAGGTGCAAATGATGCTTCAACAAATTATCAAACCTTTTTAAGTAAAAATGCATTAACATGGAGCCTCCACATTTTTCTGACACAGCTAGAGTCCTCTAAAGGTGGTGGCAGCTGTGAAAGAGAAGGCACTTGGTAGGAAGGTCAGAGGGTCTCGCCTGAGAACACAACGGAGAAGTCTGCTCGACCCAGGTTGCGGGTAGCCCTGGAGGGGGGAGGACTACCTCCCCACCCCCAGGAAGGCATCTGCAAAGGAAAACTTTGTCATCATGATTCCAAGGCAAAATGGCTGATTCCTGTTGGGAGAGAAACACCCAACAGGAAGACAGAGGACTGCCTGGGCTGTAGGAGGGACTCTGTAGGACCCGCCATGGGCTGTTCCCCCACCACATCCAGAGAGGTTCTGAAGACATCATGGGAGCAGGAGCACCTGCTTCACCTGGGCTCTCCCTCCTGTGTGCCCAGGAATACCCTGGGTTCCTGAGGGGAGCGTGTGCACATAGAGCTGGTCCACGGCAACACCTGTCTTAGGGATTTTCCAATAGGATCATGAAGAGAAAAGAGAAAATGAGAGCTCCCCTATGATCCGGGCTCCTTGGCAATGCCTGATGGCTGGATGGTCCTCGTAAGAGCAACAGCAGCTCAAGCTGTGCACCCCTGCTGACATCCAGAAAGGCAGTATGAGTATTCTGGATGGACGGGAGCTACAACTGGGTTCAAGGTCTTTATCCTAGTACCATGAATAAAGTGCACCATGAATGGAGGCCAGAAAAAGCCACTGGCCCTAGGCCGAGGTTCAGGGAGAAGCCACCATCACCAGCCCTCAGGACGGCGGATCACCTTCAGCCAGAGCGCTGGCTGTGGAGATGTGTATTATTGCTGCATTTCCTTAGGACTGTGGGACTTTTAGCTAGACAGAGAAGAAATACTTGGTGGGCTTGGCAAATAGCATCATTACGACATCACAGGATTGGCTGATATTTGGTGAGAATACGTTATTCTCTCAATCATGCTGGATGATGGCCTGTTTCCCCTTCATTCTGATGAACTTAGGAAAACTCAGGAAAATTCTTCTAAACACCTGAACAGATTGGCTCATGAGGCTTCTGTGAAGCAGAGCAGCTGCTTATGGCTGATGGCGTAGAAATGTTTTGTCTTTGTTTTCAGATGCATCCGGGAGAAGATCCACTTGTATCACATTTCAGGAGACTTTACTACAATATACTGATGGGTTTCAGAAACTTCCCAGGAGCTTTTTCCAGACCAGGAGAGGAAAACCACGACGTGCACCCAGAGCTCTGGGCCGGCCAGGACTCCGTGACCACAGCACTACTTCGCTGCTTTCATGTAGGACGGGATTGCTCCCCTTGCGGTGAGGCCCTCAAAGCGCTTGTAGGTATAATTGATAAAGACCCAGTCTTTGTTCTTATAGTCACTCTCAGGGTGGTTACTTGTGGCCACTGGGGAAGAAATAGATGTGAGAGTTGATTCAGCACTTCATTCTACTCAGTACCGAAGACAGGACACGGTGAAGGACACACCACAGTCTACTGGGAAAGGTGATTCTCCTCTCTCTGTGACTTGTCTATATTTGCTTATCTATGTCCTTTGAATCTCAAACTTGCTCACAAATCTTTGAAGTTTTTATCTTTTCATTTCTGTTACTTTGTGCTACCTAATCTTTAGTTAAATAAACAAGAAAAGAAAAGGAGCGCTCAGATTTCCAGGCTCAGCTGAACAGTCTACACATGGAGCTGATATTCAGTTCAACAAGCTCTCACTGCTAGCCAGCGTGAACACTGAAAAACATAACAGAGTCTGCAGAATTGAACTTCCCTTCCATATCCTCTGCCCTGATATGTAAACATCTCCCTCAAACTGAGGGGCGACTAATGCGCTTATAAGGCAGTGGTGGTATTACCTGTTGGTTTAAGAATATCAGATTCTGGAAACTCGTCGAAATTTGAGGTATCATCAATGCTTTTGATTTCAATAGAGATTGCAGCAGGTCTCTCTCTGCCAAGAACAGACGCCAAGATTATGAAGGTTAGTATCGTACGGGTCAAACGAATCAAGCCTTTCCTCCAAAAAGATCCCAGCTCCGATGGGGGCTGACTACTCACTGGCAGGCAAGGTCTCTTTTCTCTGAAAAGCCTGGAAGGACCAATCAAGCTACCTGACTATCTCCAAGCAAGTAAATCACAATACATGTCAATCAATCATTCCCACGTAGAAACAGCAATAATGGGAAAGTACAACTCAGAGTTATGCATGCTCTCTCCATGGAGAGCCTGCCCTGTCTAACTGTGTGAAAAAGGGACACAGAACCTCTTGGTGGCTCCCAGTGTCAGGTTCTGCTCTTCCCCTCCTGGAGTTAGCCTTTGGTGGGATGGCCAGGAGAGGGACAAGTAAAAATCACAAGTCAGAAAGTCAGAACACAGTGGTAAAATCAGTAACTTCTTCACCTTCTGGTTAGCAATCAGCAAGTGCGACGAAGGAGGTCTGGGGCTAACGGCCATGCATAGCACTGTAACAACTGCTCCTGCCCCCTCCCACCCCACTGCCCTTTGTCTCCATGTGGTAGTTTTTACACCGTGGGCAGGGCTTGTTCTCAGTACTGGCAAGTTGGCTGAGTTCTCAGTAAAAGAAGGGGCAACATGCTTCTGAGACGTTCCCTTCACTACAGGACCCAAAGGTCACCTCACTTTGTATAGAACCACTGAATTCAATCTATCTCATAGGATATGGCAACAGGGAGCTTGACGCCAAATCTTCACCACTATTGAGAGTCTGGAAAAAGACCTGCCATTCCTACGAAGCTAATCTTCCCTTATTTGGGTTGCCAATGATGCTCCTTCCAAACTGGAATGAAGCAAACTACAGAGTTTCTGAAATAACCCAGTTTTTACATGAGTATACCTGATATGTTCCCAGTCAACGCCTTCAAAAAAAGAGTTACATTTGATTTCCTCAACTCCTGGAGCTCCAATTCTATGTTCCCATTCACAGCAGAATCTGGAAGAGACAGAGGCCTTTCAGCAAACCTTACGCACTCTCTTCAGAAAGTGGAAAGGAATCACCTTTTTCTCTTTCTCAAGAAGAGGAATAGGAGAAAGTAAGGGGCACAAACGCGAGATAAAATTTAACACTAAAAATGCCTGGGTGGGTGATCGCAATGCTCTCGGGTACCTCAGAATTAGGTCCTTGGCTTTCTCAGAGATGGGAACTTCTGGAGGAAAAGTTAAGGTTTCTTTCCAGTTCATCACCTTCTTATATGTCTCTTGAGGGGTCTCAGAACAGAAAGGTGGGTAGCCTGTAATGAAAAAGGAACCTCGGAGATCTTACGCCTAGAACTTTCCATTTGAGTGACATTACTCCCAGTATGATTTCTATGACTTCAATGAATACTGGATACCTCTCTATGTCCATTCTTCAATGCCATGGACAGGATTTCCACTCATCCCAGAAACCATCTAAGTCCATTTTCCATTTTCCCCAAGTTCCTAGGTGCCTTTGGCAGCACTGGGAAGCCAGCTGACAGCTGGAGCTGGGGAAGAAAGGTGGACCTCAGCAGGAATGCAGACGTGGTGACCACCATGTTCCACCCTCCAAAACATCAATAATAAAGGACTCCATCCTAGGAATATCCTCAAAGTGGTAAAGCACCAAGCAAGCTGAACAAGAAACAAGTGTAAGCTTTTAAAAGCAACTACTGCGCCTCTTTTTGAAAACCACAGGGAAGAGGATAAACACGTACCCTATTACCCCATTGCCCTCCACACAGCAGATGTGTCTACACAGTCATCAGTCCAGTACCTGTCAAAGATGACACAGCCAGGCAGACTTCACACCCAGGCATCCATGGGGCTCGGAATACACTCTCTGCTCCAGTGCTCAACAGTAGATGGCTACCTCCATAGATATGCCCCCCCAAATAGGAGAGACATACCATCCAAATGAGAGACAGAGGCCAGGGGTTTCCATGCAATGACGGCTTTGAGAGCCAGAGATAGGTGAGTTAGAAGAGTGAGGCAGTGCCCAGTTAAAGCTCTCTGTACAGGATGGCTGGTTACTACAGGCTGGTAACTAGAGAGCTGCCACATGGAGACGATGAAAACACAGAAGAAAGAAAATTGTAAAACGATCAGCAAAGCGACTGCAGGATGTCAGTGAGCCTCAAGACAGTGTGGGACATGTGTGACTGGAAGAGCCAGCTCCCCAGGAAAACTCAACTGTGAAAGACAGAGGACGAGTGTGCAGACCAGCCCCGACTGACACAGAGTCCAGTGTCAGTGTAGCAATCCTATCTGGAAGCACAGAAAAAGTCCTCGGAAAGCATGCAACTTACCGATGAGCATCTCATACATGATCACCCCAAGCGACCACCAATCACAGAGCTTGTTGTACCCGGTCTGCATGAACACCTCGGGAGCAATGTAGTCAGGAGTGCCTACTGTGGAGAAGGCCTGAAACACGTATCATACATCAGGGAGGCCAAACCAGGCAGGAAAGTGCCCAGAGTTCTGTTCTTGTGACTGAAAGCTACAAAACCCGCCTGCAGCGAGCCCCAAGCTAAATACACAGAACTTCCCAGCAGCCTAATGGAAAGCTTCATTTGTTAGATCACTGTCCAAAATAAACAACAGAATTTTGTTATGAGGTGGGAGACATGTTCTAAACACATCTACAGCTCATAATTCACTGTTAACGATATCTATGATTCACTGAACATCCAGCAAATACCAGGTTCTACACTTCTACAAGAAGAACCTTATAACACAACTTTGCAGATAAAAGAATACAACAACCATAAAGGCTTTTGCTCAAGGGCTCAGAATCAGTTAAGAGGCAGATCTTGCTCCAAATAATCTCTTTTTCTACTATGTATATACTGCTTAAGACGATCATAAGGGGAAGCTGTACTTTAAAAATCTAGCCATATTCTGTAGGCCGAAGGTTTATATACCAAACTTGGTCATGCCTACAAACAACTGTTAGAAGAACACGTTCTAAATTCTTTTTCTTGAATATATTAGACTGCAAAATACCATGAGGAAGTTCAGTCAAAGCCTTCCAACCCACTCAACACCTGGGGGCTGATCACACAAAAATTCTAACTAGGTGCTTTGAATATTATGGCTTTACAAATAAACATTACAACTGTGTAGTCTTGTAAAAATATTTATTAAAAATTAGTATAAGCACAAAGAGAAAACCACAGACAACACACCTTATATCCAATACTTGTAGTAAGGAGGTTAATAATCTCCCATACTTGTTTCAGATCATTGATTCCTTAAAAAGAAGCAAAGCCACCAAGATGCTGAAGAATCTGACCCATGTTACCTCCTTCAGCCCTTTCAACTGCCATAACTATCCTAAAGTTGCTACATTGTTCTTGTACAAACATGACCATATATAACATTGCATATTTTACAGATTAATGTAAACAGAGGGCTTCATCCTCTCAGCATCCTTCAATGCTACTGGCTTCTTACACTCATCAATAAGGTTTTAAGATTTATTCATGTGGACCTACTTATTTTTTTTTTTTTGGCTGCGCACTATTTCATTATATAAATCACATTTGTTCTTGTCTACTGATGTTGTTTTCAACATCACTGTCGATTCCTGAGCCAGCATTCCTGTAATAACTCCTTGATGCTATGCCAGAGATGTGCTGGGCACGTGCTGGAGCCTGCACTGCAGCACCACCACTGCATCCTGGCTCCTGAGCCAGCATTCCTGTAATAACTCCTTGATGCTATGCCAGAGATGTGCTGGGCACGTGCTGGAGCCTGCACTGCAGCAGCGTTGCTGCCTCCTGGGTCATAAGCATCTCCCCAGCTGTACTCCAGAGTGTCCTCACTCAGATCAGGCAGACAGGGATGCGCTCCTGGTGGTACTCCACACTGTACCAACACTTAGATCCGTCCAATTTTAATGCTGTCACCAATGTGATGAACATGAAAAGGGATCCAGCTGCTTGAATGTGTACTTCCCTTATTTCTAATAAGGCCGTGCACATGTTCTCATGCGAGCTATCTTGGCCTTTTCAGGTCCTTTGCCCCTAAGTTTTTTCAGTTGTGTTTTTTTCTGACTGATTCACAGGAAGTTTTTGTGAATACAGGACACTGATCCTTTGAAATTTTACATGTTACAAATACCTTCTCCCAGTCTGAGGCTTACTGTTTTTACTGCAGCTTTTTAAGTGAAGTAATATGTGTCACATATCAAGACAGATCTATCACATACATACAAGCTGAATTATCAACTATGACACACAGCAGTGCAAAGGTGTGCCAACAAATTCACTGGAGAGCCAAGCCTCAAGTGAAGACCACACGTGCACCTGCCACCCTGCGGCCCCACCTCTTCTCCCTGTGACTAGGCAGGCTTTCATTGGCATCATTCTGCTCCTTTAAAAAGTCGATTTAAATTTGCCACAAGGATCTTTAATGGAAATTGTAACCAGCTTTGTGTTTGGACTCGGTAAAGCACCATCATTCTATGCACCATCTGTTTCCTCTCAACATTCTGCTTCTAGAACTCATCCATGTCGTCACAGGTAGCTGCAGCTCCATTCCTGTCACTTCTATGTTCTCTGCCAGAATGTAACCATCTCCTGCGCATGGAAACTGGGATTTTCCGGTGCTATTATGGAGAGGCAACTGGCATTCATCTGCAAGTCTCCTGGTACACACGTGCAGGGAGGTCTCCAGCGCATATCGGGAAGGTGGAACTGCCACACTGAAGGGTATTCATGTGAGCTCTGGCATGCAATCCCACAGGAGCTGGGCCATATGGATTGTCTATTTCCTTATGTCTTTGATACAGAAAAGGCTGTTTTTCCATTAAAGTAGAAAGACAAATCAGGTTTTTGTTTCATTATTTGTACTTGTATCTTATTTAATAAATCCTTTCCTTACTCAAACATCATAAAAATATAACCCTTCTGACATTTGTAAAATTTTGTTTTCCACCCAAAATTGCTTTTTCTATATACTGTAGGGTAGGGATCCAATTTTTCCACATAGATAATCATAGCTTTTTAAAAAAAAAATACAAATATTTAATAACAAAAATGCTAGCAGGTATTTTAACTTTCAAGTCTAACATGGATTGGACCTCTCAAAAGGCATAGCTAGTTTCATTATTATCATTCACACAAGACTACAGATATCCTTTAATGCAGAGATTAGATTTATTCCAGCAAAGAACACTAAGTAAATCTCATTTGTTCAAATATTTCTATTACAAAACCTGAAATCTTTTGTTGCAGGAAAATAATTTCTTCAAGATAGTTAAGTGTTTAAGACAAAACCTCTTGGATTTATAAAGCACAGCCAAGACGAGGCTCAAATCTGCGCGCAGAGTGATGCAATCCCTTGGCAACGGAGTCCTGCTGCAGGAGCTCCCCGCACTGCACCGCCACACCGCAGTGTGGGAGCAGTGGGGCCCTTCCACTCGTGGACAGCCCGCTTCCTACTGGAGCACCGCCAACTGCTGCTCATAAATCTGCACCCTGCTTCTGTGGTGTGAGTACGGACAGCATCACTTAGAGTTGCAATTCAGACAAGTTCTGTCGGGTGTCAATCATCATTCCAACTACAGGATGTTCTAGCCTTACAGTTTAATTGGAAGTGTTTTACAGGAAAAAGGCAACTTAATTTCCTATACTCTTTTATAAACTCTACCCCAAAGATAAAGTAACTTGGGTCTTACACCATGGCATTGTGAGTTAAGCTTCCACCTATTGCACCAGCCTCTCATTTAGGCACTAGTTGGAGTCCCAGCAGCTCCACTTCCAATCCAGCTCCCTACTAATGTGTCTGGGAAAGCAAATCCTTGCCCAAATCCTTGGGTTCCCTGCACCCACATGGGAGACTGGGAAGAAGCTCCTGGTTCCTGGCTTCACACAACCCAGTTCTGGCCATTGTAGCCATCTGAGAGTGAAACAGCTGATGAAAGATCTCTGTCTCTCTCTTTCTCTGTAACTCTACCTTCCAAAATAAAACAAATATATCTTTGAAAAAAAAAAAAAGAGAAAATAAGGAACAGACGTCTGTAACTACACCATCTCTTCCTATTTGTGGTCTGATGATTTCAAGTAGTTGCATACTTATTACCTAATCTGTTACTGAGGCAGAGGGTTACTGGGACCTCTTAAGTTAAAACTTTACAGCAAATAGCCAAGGAGTAAAACCTGAAGTCCCCACTTTTTTCCTGTAATACAATAAAGTAATACACCAGGCTTAGCCAAGGACGGTGTTTATGGTAAACATTAACTAGCACCATGCTTCTACTGGATACCTGCTAAATGTGATGACTTATAAAAGGAAAAACGTAACATGGAAATTGCATTCTGAAGACTTAAAAATGGTTTTACTCAAGTTATGAAAAGAAAATAATATACATTTCCCCATTTCTATTGTGGCTAGGACAAAAAAAATCAAGAACCTTAGTTACAGCATCAGGATTTCCAAGTTTACTCAGATTCTCAAATACTTTCTAAAGTATGTTACTTAATTCCAAATATGGAATTGTGAAATTTCCTTCATTATGAAGACACAGGAGTGGTTCCTAATAAGTCTGGCCTCTTTGGTACATGACAAAGAGCACAAAGCTTGCCTCAAAGGAGGAAGACAATCTGGGGTACTCCTAAAGTCAGTGGCAGCAGAGCAACCCCAGATTAAACCTGGGATTGCTTTCAAAAACAAAAAAGTATCACAGAGCTATCTTACCTTTCATTAGCTTCCAAAACAGCATCCCAACATTGTAGGGGCTATCACGACAGTCTATTCAGCAGAGGACCCGAACACCCATTGCACAGAGCAATCACCCCAAGCACCCCAAGTCTTTGAATACTCAGCTCTTCATATCATACCCTAGACCACCTGAACAAAAATCTCTGTTCCCCCATGACTCAGATGTATAGCCTCAGTTAAGAACTACTGATCCAGGGCCCGGTGCTGTAGCCTAGTGGCTAAAGTCCTCACTTTGAACACGCCAGGATCCCATATGGGTGCTGGTTCTAATCCCGGCAGCCATGCTTCCCATCCAGCTCTCTGCTTGCGGCCTGGGAAAGCAGTGGAGAACAGCCCAAAGCCTTGGGACCCTGCACCTATGTGGGAGACCCAGAAGAAACTTCTGGCTCTTGGCTCTGACCGTTGTCGGCATTTGGGGAGTGAACCAATGGATGGAAGATCCTTCTCTCTCTCTCTCTCCTTCTCTGTAAAATCTGCCTTTCCAATTAAAAAAAAAAAATCTACTAAAAAAAAAGTCTTACTTAAGTAATTCCACAGGCTTCCATATTTATAAATGACTAACACAGACTTACCAGTGACCTATGTAGGTTATTAAAGATACTGACAGAGAATTATAAATCAGTATTTTATTAAGACGCCTGGCTAAAATACAACATTTAGGGCCCAGCAATGTGGCCTAGCGGCTAAAGTCCTCACCTTGAACGCGCTGGGATCCCATATGGGTGCCAGTTCTAATCCCGGCAGCCCCACTTCCCATCCAGCTCCCTGCTTGTGGCCTGGGAAAGCAGTCGAGGACGGCCCAAAGCCTTGGGACCTTGCACCCGTGTGGGAGACCTGGAGGAAGTTCCTGGCTCCTGGCTTCAGATTGGCTCAGCTCCAGCCATTGAGGCCGCTTGGGGAGTGAATCATTGGACGGAAGATTTTCCTCTCTGTCTCTCCTCCTCTCTGTATATCTGACTTTCCAATAAAAAATAAATAAAACTTTAAAAATAAATAAATAAATAAATAAATAAAATAAAATACAACATTTGGCAAACCTGTCAAATTATCTGCCCATGCAGATAAGCAGAAATGACATTTCTAGACAATACATCTTCTGACTTAAAACATGTACATTATACCTCAGGTCTGTAGAAAGTCAGCAACTATTGTTATGGATAAGTGCTTACCTAGACAGTAGTAGCTTACTGGCGAATTTGTACCTTTTAAGTAACTTCCAACACACTAACACAATAATTTTAAATACATACGCTTACTTATTTTTAAATTTGTGGGACATAATTCGGTATATATATCCATCCAAATTTTTATAAGGTTTACTTATTTTATAAATAAGTAATAAGTAATAAATATTTTCCTTATATTTTTCTCCAATTTTTATTAGCAAATACTCTCTTCCATCATAACGAAGGAGTGGGGCAGATGAAATCTAGCCTTCTTGATGTGCATCACATTTCTTAGGATTTGAGAAGTATTGCCTGAAAGTTACAAGTAGAACTTGGATACAGTTTCTCTGTGAGCCCTGCAGCTTAAATACTACCCATACCACCCTTTTACCACCACAAAACACTGGGAATACACGTGAAACAGGAAAAAAAAAAATACTATTACCAACCTGAAAGGTCAGACCTGTCACGCTTTGGAAGCGTCATAACCAAAACAACCTACGGTGATGGACCCGTTTGGTGTTTCCAACATAAACACGGTATTCTATTTAATCTAAAAAGCAATGGCTATAAGCAAGTATTTATCAAATGTAAATTTCAGTGCTTTAAAAAAAAACATATTCACACTTGGTCTGTGGCATTTCAAAGTCTACAGACACTACTTACCAGCTGACGTCTATTTCTTTTCCAGGTTTCTGCTTTCCTCTTGGAATTCATATTCTGGAACGCTGCGAGCACAGAAAGCAAGCTCTAACCAAGTTCAGACAGGAATGTTTACTGCTCTTTCAGGCTCTGGTTTAAGTCATACTGAAATTCTCAAGTCTCGCTCTTTTATCCATACTTTAAAAACTCTAGATGACACATTTCCTAGTGCCAAGACCAATCTGAGATTCTAAAGCATTAACTATAAGAATCCACAGTGATGGCTGCATATGCCACTTCCATGTTGGCCAAATGGCCTAAGAGGACACAAGCCTTACTTGCAATTACATCTCAACTGGAAGCAAAGATCCTGAAGTGAACCTAAAGCATTCACAATTTCTCAAAAGCATCACCCAATTTCTAAGAACAGCTCCTTGCTGTTAACTTTCCTGGGATGAACTCTTAACTTCAGTACATGATTTTCAATGATCCGAAAGTGGGTGAGTGGAAGGAGCTATTTTAAAAATAATATTCCAAGGTCTGGCGTGGTGGCCTAGCAGCTAAAGTCCTCTCCTTGCACACTCCTGGGATCCCGACAGCCATCGGGCTCCCTGCTTGTGGCCTGGGAAAGCAGTCAAGGATGGCCCCAGGCCTTGGGACCCTGCACCCACGTGGACTGAGTTCCCAGCTCACTGCTTCAGCCTGGCCCAGCTCAGCTGTAGTGAGCATCTGGGGAAGGAACCAGCAGTTAAGAGATCTCTCTGTCTCTGTAAAGGAAGGAAGATGGGAATGAGACAAGGAGGAGCAGTGGGGACACATGGGGCAGAGACAGTTGTAGCCCTTTCCCTTTTTCCTTCACTGCTTCTACTTGCTTCCCCTACATTCACATCTAGTAAATCATCCCAGGAGTGCCGTGAAAAAGGCTCTTTTCAACATTTGCCATAGCACATCTGGTGACACTTACCCTGCCTCACCAGACAATACAACTCACAAGCATACCTTGGGAGGTATTTTCATTCCCTGAGGACTCCTGTTGTGAGACTTCCCTAGCTGTCCTACATAACACAGTCATCAAGAAAACAGCTCTTCAGGCTCACTTAAGGGGGAACAAGCCAATACTACTGTTCACACTTACTGAAATCACTGGGGAGGCTGTGGTTCAGATTCCTATAAAATTCTGTCCTGTGTGCTTTTTTCAGTCCTGTGCAAAGGCCAAAGTCAGAGAGTTTCACATGGCCCTGTGGGGAAAAAACGGCAAGGTGAGTGAGCGTTCCCGGATGTGGAACAGAATGTTATCTTCCAAACCTTCCAGTCAGTATTCATCAAATATGTAGAGCCATGCTACTTTTTAAAAATTTCATTAGAGGTAAAAATATGTCATAGCAAGGAAAAAAAGAAACAAACACACACACACATGCACATATATAATGTCACAAATAAAATTTTAACAGATCATCCCAAATTCTACAATCAAGAAAATTATTTGTTTTCATATGCATCTTTTTTTATCTAAATGTAAACTTTGAAAAACAGCTGAATCCTCCACAACATCTATAAATAATTTCACTACTTCCTTACTAAACTCAAATATTTCTTTTTCTACATAGAATTCCATATTATCATTTAAAATGTCCACCACAGTCAACTGTCTGAGTACACCATTACTTACCTAGCCATTCCCCTAATACTGAATGCCTCCCTGCATTTTCAATCCTTTGCTCTCAAGTAACAGAGATAAAGCATACTCCTACAGAGGGGCCTACATTCCCACCCGATGCATGTTCCTAAATGGCGAGTAAATGAACAAATGTTTGTTTCTGCAGATTTTTCTCCTCTTGATTTCACAGAGACAAATTCTAATGACTAAACTATTTCAAAGACAAAATGAACAAATACAGTTCTTAATAAATGTTCTCACACCATATTGCACTGATAAGTCTCTCATTATGAATTGTCACCAAGGAAATCAACTCATACCTCCTTTGAGCCATGCACCATGAGCAAGGTATTACTTGTGTTAGCTCATTTGGAACTCTCAAACTGCACATCACGTACCGAGAAATTAAATGCCTTGCTGCTGGTAAAACAGCAGAACCAAAGGCAGCAATCAACCCAGGCCTCCCACTCCCCCGCCCCCAAGCCAGGATTATTTTTCTTCTCCAACCCCCTCTAATATCTTCTAGAAAAAGAACATGTGAGATCTTTTTGGCTCCTAGTGTAATGTCTGACACATAATTTGCCCTTAATAAAAAGCAGCAGATATTCTTGGGATTGTAGACTGGAAGATGAAATTAAAAGTAGAACAGGGAATTGTGATATTCAGGGAAATGCCTGCTCAAGGTCACAGTTAGTTGTGGGTGGCAAAGGTCAAGGCCCCAGTGACTGGTACCTGTGATTCTTCAGCACCACCACCTTCGTTCAGGGCATGCTCAGACTTCAACGTACACACATCCCAGAGCACGAGGCTACGCGAGCCCTGCTCAAGCGGTCAGGTTCATTATCTTTCTCCTACTAAGTTTGGGGTTGTGTGTGTATGTGTGGTAGGGGGGATGTTTACCTACAGCAAGTAAACAGCCAGCAAGAACTGCTTTCAGCCTATTAACTTAGTATCTTCTTCTGATTTGAAAACACAAAACCAGCCAGGAAAACAGTTTAATTTATAGTTATCAGGATTATACGCTTTGCCTAAACACCCTAAGAAAAGAAATATCTTAAAAAGCAGTACTTGAAGTAAATGCTATTCAAGTCTAGACTTATAGAGAATTCTTCAACTATTCTGAAGCCACAGCAGGAACTCAACACACTTCTGCATTTTTCACTACTTCAATCTATGTCACTAAACATGCAAATGAGTCTGTGAGATGTTTTACTCTAAGTCTGAGCTGGCATATCAGAGAGGGCAAATCTGAGTCACCAGCTATGAGTTTCCAACCCTTGGCCTTCAGTATGTTTGCTGGATCTGAATTTAGACTACAGAGGACAACTAAACCAGGAGCAGGGCATCTAAATCCAAAAACCACACAAGGTGGGGGCAGTGATTTATTAAAAATATGTATGGGGAGCCAGTGCTATGGTATAGTGGCTTAAGCCACCACCTGCAGTGCCAGTATCCCATACGGGAACCAGTTCAAGTCCCAGCTTTTCCACTCCACTTCCTATCCAGCTCCTCATTAATGTATCTGGGAAAGCATAAGATGGCCCAAGTCCTTGGGTCCTTGTACTGACGTGGGAGACCCAGATAAAGCTCCTGGCTTCGGCCTGGCTCAGTCCCAGGCCACTGCGGCCACTTCGGGGGTGAATCATTAGATGGAAGACTTCTCTCTCTGCCTCTGCCTTTCTCTTTAACTCTGTCTTCCAATTAAATAAAATATGTATTTACAGGTACTACTCTGCTTCCAATCCAGCTCCCTGGCCTGGGAAAAACAGTAGAAGACAGGCCACGTATTTGCACCCTGTCAGCCACATGGGAGACCTAGAAGGAGCTCCTGACTTCAGCTAGCTTAGTCCTGGTCACTGCAACTATCTGGGGAGGAAATGAGAGAATGGCAGATCTTTGTGTCTCTTTCTCTGTGTAATTCATCCAAATAAATAAATAAATCTTTTATAGATGAACTTAATGGTCTTGGGAAATATTTTCTATAACATTAATTTATCTTTTATTTTAGAGTATTGCAAATAATACAGAAAAATAAAGTTCAGTAAGCACATATAGATCTAGCAATTTTTAATTGTGCCATACTTGCTTCATGTGAAAATTATATGCGTATTTATCCGTGTGTGTACACAAAAACATTTTTTAAAGTAGGAGTTGATCTATTAACATCACACAATGTAAGATTCATAACAAAGATCATAAAATCATAAAGAATGAGTTACTATCTAAGGGACACACACTACAATAAAGCAGCATTAACATTTTAAAAGTAGAGTTTACTTTCAGGATGCTAACTTCATGTAAAATATTGACACAAACAGAAAGGCATCAAATTATAAAAAATAGTAATCTTTCAGTGTTGATAAAATTGCATCAACCCTCTTGAAACATATAATGGTTTCAAGAAAAAACAAAACACTTCAGATTTTCCAAAGACAGCAATGAGGTCTTCAAAAGACAGCAAGAAAGAAAAACAATCTGGATTAGATTTACTTTTCTATTTAAAAATTTGGCCAACAATTCTGCATAACAGGCCATAACATTCTAGAAATTTAGAGCTCTTCCAAGCCAACTCTGTAAGAACGATGGAGCTCAAAAGGCAATAAGATATGCCAAGGGCAATCTAGCTATTTACTTAGCAGCTCAGGGATTCCTTTCTAATTTACTATGTGAGTCTAGGAATTAATCTTATATATCTAAAGATAAATATAAACAGGACACTAAACATCTGAGCAGGACTCTTCTTTAAAAGCAGATGGTAGGGGTTGGTACTGTGGCACAGTGAGTTAAGCTGCTACCTGCAGTGCTGGCATCCCATAAGGGCACCTGGTCAATCCCCAGCTGCTCCACCTATGATCCAATTCTCTGCTACTGTGCCCTGGAAAGCAATGTAAGTGGGCCAAGCACTCGGGTCCCAGCACCACATGGGAAACTATACGAAGTTTCTGCCTCCTGATTTTGGCTTAGCCCAGCCCTGGCTTTTGTGGACATGTAGGGAGAAAAATAGCAGATGGGAGATCTTCTGCCTCAGCCCTCTCTATAATGCTGCCATTCTAATAAATAAATAAATCTTAAAAGAAAAAAAGTGTATCCTGAAACAACAGCATGCACTTCAAGCAAACAAGCAAGCAAGCACGGGGTATTATGATTTGAGACCTCAGCTCTGTGAAAGGTTTCTGTTGTCACTATTCTCTCTGCCTTACTTCCTGGTTCTGGCTGGTTTCTTCATTGACTGATGAGGTCACCCAACAGAGGGGTTCTGGGTAGTAATGCATCAGTACTCTAGTTAATTTTATGCTAGAAGATGACTACCTTTGGTTTTATTAGAAAATAACTAACTTCGTTTTTCATTTTCAAAAACATCCTTTACTTTTAATTGTTCAATCAAATGATAGAATAGACAAAAAAAAAAAAAAAAGAAAGAAAGAAAGAAAGAAAAGAAAAACAGAGAAAGGGAAGGCACATCAGGCCAATCACTGCGCCTGCACCATAACACCCTGTGCAGGTCTGCCAAAGCAGAAGCTGCCAGGTCAGTGAGCACATGTGGTCAGGCTGCCCACCCCCAGCCTGGGTACCTTGCTGTCCAGGAGAAGGTTGTCTGGTTTGATGTCTCTGTGGATGAATCCCAGTTGGTGAATGGAGTCTATGGCCAGCACTGTTTCTGCTATATAAAACTGCGTCTCCTCTTCTGTCAGAGTGTCTTTTTTCATTAGCAAAGTCATCATGTCTCCTGGAAATGAGATACAAAGCCACCACACACACAAACACGCACGCATGCAAACATACAAACACAGGAGTTAAGCATTAGTCTTTAGATATGTCATCCTTACATGCCAACATGGCAGCTAAACACACCTGTACTGATTCACTTTGCACAAAAATATTTGCAAACTTTTCTTCATCTAGATCCAAATGGCACCTCCACATTGGTTACACTACCAAGGTTAACAGAGAGGCTGAAATAGCAAATAATAATGCAAACACTTAGGAAGGTTGAAAACAAACTTCCCAACTTCTATTTATAAAACACTAAGACATACAAAAAAGTGGGGTTTAGGTAGCAAAGAACTAGCTAACAAAAAAATAAATAAATAAATAAAACTAAAAACAAACTAAAAATATTGCTCTTTTGGAATATGTGATAAAAAGAATACAAGGGGACCCAGCGCAATCATCAGACGGCTAATCCTCCACCTATAAGCGCCAGCAGCCCATTAGGGCACCAGTGTCCCAGCTACTCCACTTCCCATCAAGCTCCCTGCCTGTGGCCTGGGAAAGAAGCAAAGGCCCTAACCTTGGGACCCTGCAGCCCATGTGGGAGACCCAGAGGAAGCTCCAAATCAGCTCCCACTATTGAATCAGTAGATAGAAGATCTTTCTCTCTGAGTCTCTACTTCACTCTGTAAATCTTTCAAATAAAAATAAATCTTTTTAAAAGAGAATGTATACATTGAACACCTCTCAAAATCAGAGATTTTCTCTCTAGTGTTTATTACAAGCAGTGAAATGTGTGCCAACAGCTTTTATATAACTTTCAAAACAAAATTATCAGGATTTTAGATTTAAAGGGTAACTGCTTTAGTTTTCAGTAAAGTCAAACTTTATTTCTGCTTAACACCAATAACATAAAGTGGCAGAAAACAATTCAGATCCTAATTCAACAGTTACACAAAAGCAAACATTTATAAGTAATTTCAGAAAGTCAAGTGAAATAGGAAAGATTCAGTTTAGATCCCATACAAAAGCCACTTGTTAGAAAACAGGGTAAAGAAAAAGTAACCTCTGATTTTAGTAATCATGTTTCCTTTTAAATTTCATTTATAAATTTACTTTTTTATTCTTAGACAAAAGTGAATTTTTTTTTTCCCTCAAGCAAAAACTGCAACATTTATTAACTGCTCTTTTTGACCCTAAGACTTGAAAATCCTAATTCCCTAATCTCCCCTGGCCATTACTGAGTATGGAAGCCCACCAGGGGACAGTGCACTCAGGCCAACTCTAAGCTGTGTGGCCTTCGCTCCGTGGCTCAGGAGAGTAGCCAATGGCCTCACCTGTGAAAGTTTGTCCAAAAGATCAGCCAGCTCAGGCCAGCCCTACTGAGTGCACAGGGCTGGGTCCAGGAGCCACAGGAAGCAACAGAAGTCAATGCAGGGAAACAATGAGGAGACATAAGGCAAGGGGCTGGTGCCCACGCTGGTTCTTACTCCTAGTCAAGAACTGGCATTACTTTAAAAGTTCTCTCTAGGAGTGGGTGTTCAGCAGAGCATTAAGACATCAACCTCCCACATCAGAGTGCCTGGGTTCAACACCAGGTCTCCCTCCTGCCTTCAACTCTGTATTAATGCAGACCCTGGGAGGGAGAGGCCACAGCTCAGGTCACTGGGCTCTGGCCTCCACATAGGAGATCTAGATTAAGTTCCAAGTGCAGAGTCTCTGTCCAGTCCAGCCAGCTTCAACTGCTATAGGTCTTCAGGCAGTGAGCCAGCAGATGAGAGCTACTTCTCTCCATCTTTCTCTGACTCTCAAGTTCAAAAAACAAAAAACCTCATTCAACCAGATTATTATCTGACTTTGTGAATTACTGATGACTCTAAATCTAAACTAAGGGCTGCCAAAGACCAAAATATTATGCCATAAATATTTCTGCTTTGTTAAGAACAAAAATGAAAATTAAAAAAAAAAATTTTCCCCAAGAGTTTACTTTCAGTTCATCTGCTCACTAAGAAACAGAGTTCCTTAGAACAGATGTGCAGTCTCAGGAGTGAAACTTGAAACTAACTACCAACCTTACCAAAGGTAAGGAGAAAGTCACTCCTTCTGAGTATAAGTCATAGAAAAAGAAAATGAAAAATCGAAGCAAACAATGTTACTCATTCAATTTTGTCATTTGGATAACTTTTATATACAATTTTCACTGATAAGAGAACAAGCAGAGCTACCTAGTATATTCCTTTGTATTTTTGAAAAGAAAACAGAAAAATGTCCATCTGAAATCATGAGAATGAATGAAACAGTTACTTTCATGGCACTAAGATTGCAGAAATGCACCCCAGCACAAGACAGGTTACTGACCTCCTTACAGACCTAAAAAAAGATATAGAAAGCAACTTAGTGAGCACAATTAAAAGCAGAAAGGAGGGTTAATTGTTGAGGCAAGAGAGAAAGAGAAACCACAGAACAAAAAGGAAAAAAATGACCTTTCATCGTCATGTAATTACCTCCAGGCAGGAACTCCATGATTAGGTAGAGGTTTAGCTTATCCTGAAAACTATAGAACATTTTCACAACCCACAAACTGTCTGCCTCCACTAGAATGTCACGCTCCGCACGAATGTGGCCAACCTGGAGGTATATGCATTTGATTAATGACAAGCCTTGCTCTGCTTTAGTAGATTGTATACTTGTTTAAACAACTTAAATACTGTTTTGAGTATTTAACTGTGATGATGCAAAAGATCTAATTTCTACTTAGGTAAACCTACTAGCTCAAAATTGACATATGACTTTAAGGTACTGTGATGCAAACTTGAGTGATGAAAGGCTTTCCAAAGTGGCAAAATAAATGGCTGTAATGCAAACAGCAACTGTAATAGTGCTCTCACTCAACCTCTGATTAGCTGAGACCATCGCTCTTTGATATACATTTTTGTTCTAATAATAATTTACAATAGAACATAAGCCACCCAGATAAGACTTCCTAAACAAGTCCTTCCCTTAGATCTGCAGTGACAATGCTATCTCTGGTGGACAATTCCAGAACACCGTGAAGTCACAGCACTATCATGAATACAGTATGTGCTCACTCAGTTCTTACCGAATTGAAACATAAGAACACTTAAGAAAGTGAACAGATTCCAATCAATGACACCTCCAACTTTTACCAAAGTACATGTAGCTAAGGAGTCCCAGTAACATGAGGTCAAGAAGAACTGGTAAAAGTACTTTGTTGAAATAAAGTGTCACTGTCAAATTTACCTTATTTGCTTTAAATATACAATAGTAAATATAACTGCAATGCAATATTGCCAATTTCTAGCCCTCCACTTTCATGAAGTGTCACAAGATCCAAAGTTGGGTTCTATTAGATCTAAATCCAGTAAGAACAAGTCAAATCCTTGAATAGAAGTTTTGGTCTCAGAGTTCTTATTACTCCATGGTCTTAGAGTTTTTACAGCATGATCTGAAGTAAAATGTGTACCAAGGTTAAGAAAACAACAACCCCGCTAGCAAACTGAGTCCGGGTTGTTTTGTTTGAGACAATGTTCTGATTGCTCGCTTCCACCAGACCACACACTCTTCTACCTTCTCCCACGTGGACACATGCTCCAGCCTCTCTCCTGTCTCAACTAACTAGCTAGATCCTTCCATGCTAACTCCAGGGTCAGGACGCATTTCAGTTTAGATTTGAGTTTTCAGTCTCTACTAAGATTGTTCTTTGAGGAATTTTTTAATAGCTTCATTGTTATCAGTACTAATAGTATGGAGGTGGGAAAAAAATACCACAGGGTGGTAAAACACAGTGCTATGAAACTACAAAGCCGAGGGAGGCGTTTGTTTTTACCTGATCTTAATACAGAAACAAAGCTTTTAGAAAACTCATGCTGCTTGGTTCTCTGTAGTTAAGGCCAACTCTCGATCGCTATCAGGCAGGTTTACCTGCCCGTTTCCCCTGGCCCCTGTTAAGGCAGGGAGCCACAGAGGAGGGAAAACACTACCACCACAGCTGTAACTCACGGTGGCGGACAGAATGCCGACGACACCTTGTGAGAAGGCCACTAACAACACCAGCACATCTCACCCTGCTCCTGAGACTGAAGCAACCTCAGGATCTAGAACTGAAGTCAGCTGCATTTAAGCTGAATTTATCTCATTCCACAAATATTTAATGAGATGAGAGTGCTAGCTGTCAACCTAAGCATATAGAAAGTAAAAGTCAGTTTTTGTTCTATCAAAACTGTATACTGGCATCACAATGCAAGGTTTTCTTTTTGCACTGGAAGATACACATCAGAAACCAGCTAAATGCTGGTATGTTATCCTTTAAGTATCTCCAGGTAGTAAAAATTTCTACTGTGTGGATATTAATCATCCTGAAGTAGCTGTAATTTCTAATCAATTCAAAAGAAGCAAACAAAAAACACAACTGTTCCTCTGAATAAGGCACCTATAACTAAAAAGTTAAGCTCAGAAACATCATGACAGCTCAATTGGCTAATCTTCCCCTTACAAGTACAGGCATCCCATATGGGTGCTGGTTCTTGTATACCAGCTGCTCCAATTCCCTTTCAGCTCCCTGCTTGTGACCTGGGAAAGCAGTAGAGGATGGCCCAAAGCCTTGGACTCGGCATCTGTGTGGGAGACCCAGAAGAAGCTCCTGGCTCCTGGCTTCAGATGGGCTCAGCTCTGGCCATTGCAGCCATTTGGAAAGTGAACCAGCGGAGAGAACTTTCTGTCTCTCCTTCTCTCTGTAAATCTGTCTTTCCAAATGAAAATTAATAATCTTCAAAAAAAAAAAAAGAGGACTGAATCTAAAACTCATTAGTCATATCCAAAAATGCTGATGGATTTGCACAGTCTACTTCTAGTTTTCACCTAGCACACACTGGCTGCATGCATCTTCAAGATGGCCACTGCAGATAGTCTGTGCCCAGCGACCTTAAGAGGCCTCTTACGAGATCAAACCTGGGAAACTAAACCTATTACCTAAGATGTACTAAGCAATTAAGTTAGTGCAGTTTAATGCATAAATTATTTAAAACGCAAAGACATTTCCATTGGAAATTTAAAACACTAATTTTGGAGAGGGCATGTTCTAAGAAAAGGTTTTTATACAACATGTTTGGATCAACCTCTGTCACCACACTGGGTACCTGGCATGGACTAGGTGGAATAACCCTGAAAGTCATAATATGTACTTCTTTGTATAATTTTATTCTGACTACTAATTACTTTGACAGGTTCTTAGTCTTGGTTGAAACTGTAGAAAATGTGTCTTGTAAGAATAAAATTAAATCATGAAGTAACTATATTGACCAACCAATATAGAAGCTTTTTATTTTCCTTCTCAATTCAAATTCTATCAGTGTCTGCAAATTCATACACAAACAGGGCTACTATGTATTGTGAATTAAGGCTGGGGTTAGTATAACCTATAGCACCTGAGGATTTACAGAACAGGGTCTGAAATTCTCTGCTGAAATTTCTGGAGTCTATCCCTTCTGGGTCATGTGAACTTGAAAACTTGAGGTGTCACTAAGACAATGACCACACTTCCTCTCAAGAAGTGTGACGAAAGCTGGGGGCTGTTACTCCTGAGCACAGCTGCTACATCCACTCCTCCATAGGGTATTTGCAGTCACACCCACAGCCATCTGCTCTTAAATAGCCAACTAGCTTAGATTTACACAAAGTCCACATTCCCTTTTTTAAAATACCCTGCATATTTTAAGACTATTTACTTTGCATTAAGTACTTATGCATTTTGCAGCTCTATTTGCAAAGTTGGTTTGGGTATTAAAATGCATTCTTAATCACTAAAGAAGAATTTGCATTGCTTTGCCATTTGCATTATATTAAAGAAGTCCATTCAGAAATGGAGGACTGGTAGTCTCTCAAATAATGGTGAGTTCCTCAGAAGACACAACTGCAAGGTGAGTGTACAGTATACAGTACATTATAACACTGTTTAGACTAAATTCTTAGACGTAACCTTTGGGGTATTTGCACAATTCCCGTTTCTTAGCATTTGGTGAAAAACATGTTGCCACACCAACTATGTCCTCAAGGAAAGGCTCTCAAGACAAGAACATAACCAATCAGAAGATGCTACTAGCAGTTGTTTCTCTAATTGGCTTTCAACTTTTACCATATAATATGTAACCTACAGGCATTATTTCTGCTTTTAAGTATGTGACTGCTTCTTTATATAAGAAAAAAGGCAATAATATATGTATAATATAACACATAAAAAAGCTAAGGAAAATGAATACAATGCATATTTTTAACTAAACAAAAAGAATGACTTTAGGAGGCTAACTGAAAGTACCACCCCAAACTGTGCCTTACCTGCTCTTTTTCAAGCATATCTGCTTTACGGAGTATTTTCATTGCATACACGTGTCCCGTATCTTTCTTCTGAACAAGCCGCACCTAAAAAGTCACCAAAGAAATGCCAAGTCAAACATTAACACTGTCAGGTAATGCTTTCATGTGGTATAGGAATGTGTAAACCAAAAAAGACAACTTAATTTTAATGTAATCAGATAGCAGTGACAAAGCAGAAAAATGATCAAAAATAAATATATTGACACAACAAATTCATGCTGGAAACATCTCCAGATATTTCTACATCTGAGCAAACTTTGCTCTCTAAACGAACAGACCTACAATCTAACTAAAAAAGAAAAACACTATCAGGACTCATTACACCACTGACATCTCTAATCTAGACAGCTCAGAAAAGTTAAGCAAATGATTACCACATTTAAAATAAAAGTTTATGCACAGGAAGGAGCTCTGGAAGTCCAATATTTTTAAAGAAAGCAGACAACTTTACTATGCAAACAAAGTTGATGGCCTGTAAACCAAAAGCAAACCTTGGCAAGCCCTTGCACATCTCCTCTTAAGTGTGTTTTCTTCTCCCTGCACTTTCCCTCATGTCTTTCTTAATGGAGTCCCATGACAATTTGTCCCCAGACAATTTCTATAGAGATAGTAATGTATCTTTCACTCCTTCAACAGACCAATCACGATTCTGAGCACTGAGAGTTCAAGCTTTTCATTCACCTGTACGTCTGGGCATTACACTAGGTATCTAACGCTGAGCTGCTTTTCTGCAAAGGCAATGCAATGACTGCATCAGCAAGCTGCACACTTTGGGTGTTCTCAGTAATGGAAATCATCTCGCAAGGGCTAATCCAACTTTTCTTCAACAGACTGCCCTTGTGGCTAAACATAGTTCACTTGTGAGAACAGAAGGGACCAAGCTGCAAACACTTTCAGTTCTCTATGACTATATATACTGTAACATCTTTCTACAAATTCTGTTTCCAAGGACCATCATTTTAGAGTAATATCAGCCTGGCAGAAAAAAATATAAGGGTGTAGACATATGCTGGTTTGCTACTATAAAGGTAGTAGGAAAAGCAAGAACTTTAGGGTCAGAAACGCTTGGGTTTAACTTCCGATCTAGTGCTCAACATGTGACAATGGGGCGTTATATACCTTTGCAATGCTGGCTCCTAATTCAGATGGGCTCAGCTCTGGCCATTGAGGCCATCTGGGGAATGAATCAGTGGAAGGAAAAACTTTCTCTGTCTCTCCTATGTAAATCTGTCTTTCCAATAAAAATAAACCTTTTTTTAAAAAAGATTTATTTATTTTTATTGAAAAGGTAGATCATATTTACAGAGAAGAGAGACAGAAAGATCTTTCATCTGCTGCTTCACTTCCCAAATGGCCTCAATGGCTAGAGCTGAGCTGATCCAAAACCAGGAGTCAGGAGTTTCTCCTGGGTCTCCACATGGGCACAGGGTCCCTAGGCTTTGGGCCATCTTCTACCACTTTCCCAGGCTACAAGCAGGGATCTGGATGATAAGGAGAGCAGCCAGGACACGAACCAGCACCCATATGGGATCTCAGCACTTACAAAGGTAAGGATTATTCTGAGCCCAAAATTAAATCCTAAAAGAAAAAAAAAAAAAAACAAAACAAAAACAGGCTACTGTCATGCTTACCACAGAAAAGTGTTAGCTAAAAAATTAATATATTTCTGCCTATGGAAATGTATCATAAAATAATAAAATGGAAAAAAATGGATTCCCTTCCAATTTTTAATTTTCCCTCTAGATCAATATTTAATGTACCAATCAAAATTGATAACTGAGACAGGAGAAGAAGGTAGACATAGAGAAACAGGACAGACAAGGAGGTTAGGATGTGGGGCTGGCAAACCTGATGCACCTAACTCCGTACATTTGGCTTATATCCACTATTACCAGCTTATGTTACAATTTTTGAAGCTCTATAGTACTTTTGTACTTGACAAATAGCTGTGGTTTTTACCTCACCAAATGCTCCTCTGCCTATAACTTTTAAGGACTCAAAATCTTCCAATCCAAGCCTTGTTCTCTTCAAACGAAGAAACTCAGTTTCCTTTCGAGCATGTGCTGATCGCCTGAGTCGTTTCTAATATTCAACAGAGAGGGGGAGAAGAGCAGGGGCTGAAACTCCAAAACTGCAACAGATCGCATTTTTACTTAGTGAGCTGGAAAACAGGACCACACTCAACTAGGCACGATCATTTCCCACATGGAAGCACAACAGAAGGTCGGGTTACACTCAACAGGTGGGTGCCTCCCCCAAGAATCTGACACATTCACCTCTAGCACTTCTCTTGGAGGAGGGATCAACATTTCCCTTTAATCTTTTTTACATAAAACAGAAAGATTTTTTTCTCTCTCTAGGTATCATACTCCATGTAGTTCACTGCACCCCAGTAACTACCATTCGAGTAAGCACTTGCTCTTTTCTAACACTGTCCTGACTTTCATGATTTGTTTCCATTTCTCAAGGAATTCCCACTGTCTCGTGCTCCTTGCAGTGTTATTTCTACCCACCACCATTTCTGTGTGCACTGGGCCCAAGGGCTGACCTAAAGACAAAATTTCACTTAGATAACGATTTCAGAAATTTGTCCCACTTCTGCAGAGTCTTTTCATGAATGCTGCAGAAATGCTATATCTTTCTTCATCAAAATTTAATTAATGCTCTCATTATTTCTGGCAACTCTAAATCTAATCAATTATTGCAAAGTGCCAAAAGGCCTTTTTCTGCTGGATATTTAACAATTAACTCCTACCTCGAAACAAACACCCAACTGCAGAAACATGCCACCTCTCAAATTCCTCTATTCCATGCCAAAACCCTTCCCCTAAGCACCCAAGTTAACTCAATGGACAAGATACAACATGCCAGGCTGCACTTGAAGAAAAATTTTTCCAGGATTAATTACCTCTTCATCCTTCAGGCCCTCTTCTTCCATCACTTTTTCTAGTTTCTTTTGTCTAAAACAAACAAAAAAAAGATATGAAAAAACAGCTTTCTGAAAACTCCACATGCATATAGTAAATCTAAAATGCCTCATAAAAACAAAAATAAGTTACAATGGCTAAGACAAGTGAAAGAATGTTCTAGTCTCAGGTCTACATTTTTAAAGAGTTTATATTTCAAAATGATTTCAAGGCAACAATGAATCTTGATTTGAAATGCAATGTTTCTTCTCCCTCCCTCAGTTATTTCTTAACCACCACACAGCTTGTATTTTTTTTTTTACTTTTATTATTATTATCATCCTTTTAAGATACATTTGCATAGGCCCTGAGATTTTCAGAATCTGGAATATACCGCTCCATTATCTTCTGACCTGTAGAATTTCCTGTGAGAGCTCTCCTATGAATTTAACTGGCATTGTTTTATATACAAATTGATTTTTTTCACGTGCACATTTAAGGATTTTTTTCCTTATGCTCGACTGAAGAGAGTTTGATTATCATGTGTCGTGGTGAAGATCACTTTTGGTCAACCCTGTTGGGAGTTCTGTGCCCCTCCTGGATGTTGTTTCCCAATTCTTTCCCTAGAATTGGGAAATTTTCCCTTGTTATTTCATTGAATTTAATCCCAGCTTCTCTTTCTGCAATTCTGGGAGTCCCATAACTCTTATATTTGGCCTTTTAATAGTGTCTTTCAATTCTTGCATTTTTTTGTTTTTTAGCTTGACCCAGCTCTGCTTCCAGCTTTTTGTTTCTTCCTGGTGACAGGAAATATTTTCCAATTCTGAGATTCTTTCTTCTTCATCCATTCTATTTTGGAGACTTCCACTGTACTTTTTAATTTGCTCCACTGTATTCTTCATTTCTAATATATCAGTTTTCACTTGATTCACTTCCTGAGTGACATAATCCTTAAATTTCTTGAATTCCTAAATCATGTACTTCCTGTTGCTGATAAGAAACTTTTAAACAAGTGTTTTGAATTCTGTATCCCCCATTTTCTCAATGTCTTCCTCAGGTAACTGAGGTTGGCAAAGGGTTTTACTCCTTTGCATTGAAGTCCTCTGTGGGGAGCAGCTGACCCCACGTGTATGATGACCCCAGTGTATGATGACCCCACGCGTATGATAGGTGGTCACAAGATGGCAGCTGGCCGAGGGCCAGGAGGCAGGATTTGTCCCACCAGTAGGCAAACAGGAAGTCACAGGGATAGGCTAATATCCCGGCTGCGATTATGTCGTTGCTACTGGCCTATCACGTGGCACCAAGTGGACCCAAGAAGAGAAGTGATTAGTGGAGAACTGTATATAAGCAGCCCGCTTTCAGCAATAAATCTTTTTGTTCGCCTTCCTTTTTCGTTTGCCTTTCTGTTCGTTTGCCCTCTTTTTGTTTGGCTTTTCGTTCAATCGTTCATTCAGTGTGTGTGTGCCGGTTGTGTTGGCGGTTCCTGTTTTTCCAGGCCCTCGAGAGTTCTGCAGGATGGCAGCAGTCCTCAGTAATATTCGTTGTGCCTTTGTCTCCTCTTTTCCTCTTGGTCATTGTACTTCTAGTTAGCAGATTCTGCAGATTCTTCTCCTTGGTGCAGGTTTCTAAACACTGTTACCCACAACTCTACAATTTAATTTTACTTATTGTGATTGGGACATGGCTCTTTGTTTGCAGTCACTTCTGCTACTTCCTCCTGCGAGTTCCAGGTCTGGGTTCTTTTTTTTTAAGATGTATTTTATTTTTATTGGAAAGTGAGATATACAGAAGAGGAGAGACAGAGAGGAATATCTTCCATCCATTGATTCTCTCCTTGAGTGGATGCAAAAGCTGGTGCTGCACAGATTCGAAGCCAGGAGCCAAGAACTTCCTCCAGGTCCCCCACGTGGGTGCAAGTTCCCAAAGTCTTAGTTCCATCCTTGACTGCTTTCCCAGACCACAAGCAGGCAGCTGGATCGGAAGCAGGGCTGCCGGGATTACAACCAGAGCCCTCATGGGATCCTGGCACATTCAAGGCAAGGACTTTAGCCGCTAGGCTACTGCGCCAGGCCCCAGGTCTGAGTTCTTATTACTACCACCATGGTCTCCATAGGCCCAGCTCCTGGCTCACCAATCTCCACCTTCTGTGATTCTGTACTGAGGCTGCACTGCACCATTGTCTGTACAAGCTTTCTCCCACTTCCTGTTAGAGCAGTTTCCAGGATTAGAGAGACACCAGGGGTCCTATATAACTAGATTGCTGGTGGCACTGATCATGCCGGAACCTGTTGGCTGTTAGGTCTGAGGGCCACACAGACCTATTTTGACCCAGACAATGCCAAAGTTGGTATTATTTTCCCTTTGGGACCAGTGCAATGCACTGAGCTCAGTGAGTTCACACCCTGCTTAACACATGCACAGTTCACTACTGTCCCTGTAGTCTTAAATTCTTTACCATACTATACGAAATGGCGCCTGATGTGCCACTACTAAAGTTCTTGATCTGCTAGCCATCAGGTCTGAGAACTACTTTGACCTATCTTGGATTGAACCTATAGGATACCACATTGTTGCAGTCCACGGAGTCAGAAATGAGTTCACTTTCAGCTAAGTGCATGTGCAATCCAGTCCCAGTCTTTGCCTCCCTATACAAAATGGCGCCCAATTTGGCTCTAGGGGGTGGACTGGGCTGTGAAATCTAACCTGCTCTCACTCCACACCTCCACACGTCTGGGACCTGCCACTCTGTCTCTGCTCCTGGTCACATCAAACAAACAAGCAGGATGGGCAGGTCTTTGTCTGGTTTACCCCCTGAGCTCCTAGTGAACACCCCTCCCACCTTGCTGCTGATGAAGTTTCAACTGCTAGTGTAGTTCAAATCGCCACTGGCTGAATGCTGCTAGGGTATTGGTCACAGCAACACCATACCATTGTGTCCACTGCTTTCCTGTGTCTGTCAGTCTCCAGGTGGGTGCCCATGTTGTCACCGTGTCCTCTCCTGTTCCCTAGAATGTGCCCTCTCTGATTCACACTCGCTAATGTTTCTCCATCTGTTTAAATGTATCCTTACCCTATTGTGCCATCTTGATTTTCGAACACAGCAGGTATTTGATAATCTCTTACATCAGGTTGTTTCTAGCTCTCTCTGACACAAAAATACACATTTTTTCACATCTTCTTCTTACTACCCGCTACAAGCAAACAGGAACAACAAAGGCAAAGGCAGACAGGCCAGACACGAGTGATGAAAAAAATGAGCTGACACCACAATCAAAACCGCAAACAGCAAACAAACCTCTAGGATATAAACTTCATTTTAACAATTGTATCTGAGACTATTTTTGATCCACAATCTCACATTGATTTGATATAACTAAGAGAAATAAGTAAAACTTTATTAAAAGTAGGTTTTCATTAATTCATCACAATACTGGGCTAGAACCTCTTCACCATTTACCAGCTGTCCAGATCACCAGGTAATCTGAGCAGGAGGCACTCCAAGTGAGGGTACACTCAAGAAGCAACAACTCGCAATCCAGTGAAGCTGACATACATACAGCCAAGCAGCATAGATCTCACTCTGAACACAAGAGTGCTAGCAAAGGCTTAAGCAACAGTGATGTTAACAAGACTGCTCTTTTAGAATAACAGCCAGCAGTAATGGTAAGGCAGGAAAAGTAATGAACAGACAGAGGCCACTGACAGCTATTCTAACAATTCAGCTGTGCGGTAAAGACATCACACTAGAAAGAAGTGACTAGTCCCTGAAAGAAAAATAACTGTAAATAGAAATCAAAAGAAACATCTGAAAATTTCTTTTCTGGGGCAGGGGAGGGGGTGAGAATGATGCCACTAACAAAGACAGAAACACAGATAAACGAACACTGAAAAAAAACAAATTTCGTTCTAGTCAATAAATATTTATCTCAATAACAATATTAAATTAAGGGCCTGGCGTGACAGTGTAGTGGTGAAAGTCCTCACCTTGCATGTGCTGGGATCCCATATGGGCGCCAGTTCTAATCCCAGTGGCCCCGCTTCCCATCCAACTCCCTGCTTGTGGCCTGGGAAAGCAGTCAAGGACAGCCCAAAGCCTTGGGACCCTGCACCCATTTGGGAGATCTGGAAGAGCTCCTGGCTCCTGGCTTCAGATTGGCTTAGCTCCAGCCATTGCAGCTGCTTGGGGAGTGAATCATCGGACAGAAGATCTTCCTTTCTGTCTCTGCTCCTCTCTGTATATCTGCCTTTCCAATAAAAATAAATAAATCTTTAAAAGTATATATTAAGGACCCGGCACAATGGCGCAAGTGGTTAAGGTCCTCACCTTGCACGCCCGGAATCCCATATGGGCGCCGGTTCCAGTCCCGGCAGCCCCACTTCCCATCCAGCTCCCTGCCTGTGGCCCGGGAAAGCAGTCGAGGACGGCCCAAAGCTTTGGGACCCTGCACCCGCGTGGGAGACCCAGAAGAGGCTCCGGGCTTCAGACCGGCATAGTATCGGCCGTTGCGCTCACTTGGGGAGTGAATCATCGGACAGAGGATCTTCCTCTCTGTCTCTCCTCTCTGTATCCGCCTTTCCAATAAAAATAAAAAATAAATCTTTAAAAAATATATGTATATATTAAATTAAAATGTGTTCTATGACAAATTAGATTACAAATCCACAGGCTCAAACAACAAATAAGAAACAATAAAAATCTGCATCCAAAACTCAGGCGGAGCATCTTAGTCCTAGTCCTGGCGGAGCATCTATCCTGAGTCCCCAATTTTCTTCCCCAGAGTGCTTAGATATTCACCTATGAGTTTACATGTACTAAAGAGAGAAGCTTACATTATTGATAATTCCAAGAGTGCAAATTAATTCTATTTCAATGCTGAATAATTCAGACAGGGAACAGTAGACTCAAACCATAGGGGCAGGCTTTGGCACAGTATCACTTGGGATGTCCATGCATCCCATGCCACGGTTTCTGCTTCAAGTCCTAGCTCCACTGGCAAGTACCCCAGAAGGCACACAATGACTCAATATTTGAGTCCCTGAAACCGACACTAAAACCAGGATGGAGTTCAGTGTTCCTGACTTCAGCCTGGTCCAGCCCTGACTATTCTGGGCATTTGGGCTTTAAGCTAACAGACAGAAGATCCTTCCCTTTCTTTGTCTTTCAAAACAATCAAACAAAACCCACATACCAACAATATAAATGTTTGCAAAAATAAAAAACAATTGGAATTCTTATTTCCTCCTAGGAAGAATTTAGTAGTTTCTTACCAAACTAAATACCTGTTACGTATGTTTATGACCAATTCCATTCCTAAGTATTTACCTGCTAACTGAAAACAAATGATCACAGAAAGACTTGTACAGAAATGTTAAGTTTATTCAATAGTCAAAAACTGGAGGACAAACTGAGATGTAGAAAACAGAGCGGTACACAGCAATGAAGAGAAACAAGCAACCACTAATATATGTAGGAAACACGCATGAGGAACCAGCACTGTGGAGCAGCAGGTGAAGCTGCCCCCACGACGCTGACCTTTGTACTACAGCACCAGCTCAAGTCCGGGCTGCTCCACTTCAATCCAGCTCCCGCTAACGTGCCTGGGAAAGCGGGGGACGGTGGCCCAAGGCCCTGGAGCCCAGCCAACAAGTGAAAGACCCAGCTAGAGATCCCAACTTCTCGGTTTAGCCTAGCTCAGCACCATTACCTACCAGCATTTGGCGAGTGAACCAGTGGATAAAAGATCTATCTCTCTTTCTCTTTCCTCCCACATCCTGCTATTTTGTCTTTCCAATAAATAAATTTACTCTAATAATAACAATAATAATAAAGAATCAATCTCAAAAATATTATGTGTATAAGAGATGTTTTCCTCAAATGAGTCATTTACCCTGTGATTCCAGCTGAATGTTCCACTTCCATGGAATAGGCAAGACCAATCTATGCTAGAAACAAAGTCACAACAGTGGTTGCCCAAGGTTAAATGAATAACAAGCAAGAAACAACTTTCTGGAAGGATGCTAATATTCTACATTTCGATACAGGTTTTAATTTATATAGGTATACACATTTGTTAAACCTCATCAAATGGGTTTATGCATACAAGCATATTCATTTGTTAAAACTCATGCAAATTTTACACTCTGCTAAAAAAAATATATTGAACACTAGTTTCTTAAAAGCTTATTTTCATTTTATTTGCAAGGCAGATAGAGGCACTATTATACTATCTTGCATTCACTGTCCACTCATTGAACAGCCACAACTGGAGCAGGGCAAAGCAGGAGCCCGAGAGCTCTATCCCAGTCTCCCACATGGCTGGCAGGGACCCGATGACCTGAGCCGCCCTCTGCTGCCTCTCGGGCTGCACAGCAGCAGGGAGCTGGATGGATGCAGAGCAGGCAGGTACTCTGATTTAGGACGCAAGCAACCTAAGCAGTAATTAACCCACTGCTCCGTAACCCACCCTACTAGCTGATATCATACAGGCAGAAACACTCAAACATATCATGACATCTGTAGCAAACTTGAAAGTACTGCAAATATGAAAGAGAGGCAGGGCAAGCAACTGGCAGAGAGAGGCTGCTAAGGATGTCTCTATTCCATCAGGGAATCTGGGTTTCAATCTCAGCTCCTCTTCCCATTCCAGCTTCCTGCTAATGCACCCTGAGAGGCAGCTGGTCACGGCTCAAGCAGCTGAGTCCTTGCCACCTACATGAAAGATCCAGGCTGAGTTTCAAGCTCTGGCCTTGACTCTGTGCTGCCCTGGCTGCTGGAGGTATTTGGGCAGTGAACCAGTGGATATAAAATTACTGCCTCTCTACCTTTTATATAAATTTTTAAAAATATTTTTAAATTTTACATGAACAAACGCAGTGATGGATAGCTGAATATATGATTAAAACAAGCATAACAAATGATGACTATCTTCTAGATTACCTCTACACAGGTATTTTCTGTGCAATTCTTTTAACCTTTCTGAACTTCTAAACAAATTCACAAAAAAATGTTAGGAAAAGATTTTTAATTATGAGTAAGGACATAAAAAGCATGTACCAGAGCAGTAACAACAACAGCTGCTGCTATTACCATTAACTAAATGACCTCTACCTGTGAAGCATTATGGTGCTGCCCACATTATGTTACATCTAATCCCTGAACTAATCCTGCAGGGCAGAATCACACCCATTTTTCTTGATGGGGGAGAAACTGAGAAAAGAAGAAGTTTGTTCCAGATACAGCTACTAATTGATACAAGCACAATTCCAAATCCAGGTCTTACTCCAAAGATGCCATTTTTTCCATGCTGTCACATAGCTATTTTTTTTAAAGATTTATTTATTTTTATTGGAAAGTCAGATATACATAGAGAAGGAGAGGCAGAGAGGAAAATCTTCCATCCAATGAATCACTCCCCAAGTGACTGCAACAGCTAAAGCTGTGCCAATCCAAAGCCAGGAGCCAGGAACTTCCTCCAGGTCTCCCACGTGGGTGCAGGGTCCCAAGGCTTTAGGCTATACTCAACTGCTTTCCCAGGCCACAAGCAGGGAGCTGGATGGGAAGCAGGACCGCTGGCACATTCAATACTAGGACTTTAGCCACTAGGCCACCGCACTGGGCCCATTACACAGCTTTAAAAATTATCTACAGGGCCTGGCAGCATGGCCTAGTGGCTAAAGTCCTCGCCTCAAACACACTGGGATCCCATATGGGCGCCAGTTCTAATCCCGGCAGCTCCAATTCCCATTCAGCTCCCTGCTTGTGGCCTGGGAAAGCAGTCAAGGACCGCCCAAAGGCTTTGGGAACCTGCACCCACGTGGGAGACCTGGAGGAGGATTCTGGTTCCCGGCTTCGGATCGGCGCAGCACTGGCCATTGCAGTCACTTGGGGAGTTAGTCATCGGACAGAAGATCTTCCTCTCTGTCTCTCCTCCTCTCTGTATATCTGACTTTCCAATAAAAATAAATAAATCTTTAAAAAAAAATAAAGAAAAATAGGGCCCGGCGCGGTGGCGCAAGTGGTTAAAGGTCCTCGCCTTGCACGCCCGGGATCCCATATGGGCGCCGGTTCTAATCCCGGCAGCCTCACTTCCCTTCCAGCTCCCTGCCTGTGGCCTGGGAAAGCAGCAGAGGACGGCCCAAAGCTTTGGGACCCTGCACCCACGTGGGAGACCCGGAAGAGGCTCCTGGCTCTGGATCGGCATAGTATCGGCCGTTGCACTCACTTGGGGAGTGAATCATCGGATGGAAGATCTTCCTCTCTGTCTCTCCTCTCTGTATATCTGCCTTTCCAATAAAAAACAATAAAAATAAATCTTTAAAAAAAAAAAATAAATAAAGAAAAATTAACTACAATGGCAAATGTTTGGCCTAGCAGTTACTTTGCCTGCATCTGCCATCAGAGTGCTATGTTTGATCCCAGTTCTGGCTCCTACTAATGAAAGGAGGAAGCAGGTGACGGCTCATGCAGTTGGGTACCTGCACTGACCTGAGAGACCGAGCTTGAGTTCTATCTCCTGGCTTCCACCAGGCCCTGTCCCAGCCATTGCAGGAGCTGATTCACTCCCCCGTGGCTCCCACATGGTTGCTGCTATTCTTGTCTCCTTTCAACATTATAAATGTGTTTTTATGACACCAGAAATGAATGTCATAACCATGACACATTTTTTTTTTCAAATAAAATTATTTACCTCATTTCTCGTTCTTCATGCTGAGCGATAAGGTTGCTGTAAAAATTCTCCAGGGTCACTTTGGTCATTGTCACCCTTTCCTTTGTGTGATTACTCATGGATGAGCAGGGTGTTGAGCCTGTCATTGCCATGGCTGCTACAGACAAAGAAAAGAGAAGTTATCAGTCTTGGAGTTAGAATCCACCGATCATGCTGTCTCCCTCCCTTCAGGTAAGAATGTGCACTGGTCCACACTTCTGGAGGACAAGTTATATGCAACAAAGTCCAGACAGAACAACTGCTGAAAACAGTGTCTGAGGATGCTGATGTCCTCTGACCCGGAAATCCCATCCCCCAGTATAAAGGCAGACAAAGTATCACACAGGCTCTTAGGGGCACAGATACTGTGTACAATACATATCGGATGTTCATTCTGCCATTATTTGTATTAGGTAAAGTTGAAACAATTCAGCAAGAAATAAATAAGATGTTTTGAATGCATATAGGAAATAACTACGCAATAGTCAGAAGCAATCCCACATGGATACATCTTACAACTCAGTGCTGGAGCTTTCACAAAAGAACAGGATCACAACAACATATGCAAAAATTAAGAATACTCAGTATACTGAACCCGTTTCAGTTCTGTGCCATCTAGAAATCAACCATGAAGAAATCTAAAACTTGTAAAGATTGAAACTCGAGGAAGTTCAACGTAGAATTACAACAACAAAGGAAAACTAGAGGTACTTGAATATACAACAGAATCAATTACATATGAAAAAGTTTTATAAAGAAATAACGTGCAATGAAAATACACTCAAATGTTTGCAGGAAAATGTTTCCAATCCAAATGAAAACAAATTGTAAAACAATATCATGATCTCAATTTTACTTATATATTTATGCATGCACAGAAAAATTAGAAATATGTAATCAAAATTGTTATTAGCCTAACTCTACACTGAAAAAATATAATAGATAATATTATTCTGGCTTCTGCTCTTCTATGTTTTTCAATATTTTCTTCAATACACATATACTGCTACCAGTTTGTTTTGTTTTGTTTTTTATTGATTTGAGAAACAAAGAGAAGATACCTCCCACACTGGTTCATTCCTCCAGTGCTCACAACAGCTGGGGCTAGGCAGAAGCAAAACTTCGTAGCTAGGAACTCAATCCAGGTCCTTCCCTGCCACCCCCACCACCAAAGGACAGAAATCTAATAACCTGAGCCAGCCATTATCTTTGCTTTCCAGGGTCTGCATTAGTAAACTAGAATCAGGAGTCTGGAGTCCTATGCCAGTACATAATGCCAGACACGGGCATCAGAATCACTAGGACAAACACTTGTCTCCCAAAAACTTTTGGGCTTCACATTTCCACAGGTTTAAAAAAAAAAAAAAAAGCTAGGGGCTGCTGTTGTGGTGCAGCATGGTAAGCCACAGCCTGAGAAACACACATTCCATGTAGTGTCACGTTAAGTCTAGAGTGTTCCACTTCCAGCCCAGTTCCTTCCTTAAGTTCCTGGGAAGCCAGAGCATGATGGCTCCTCCTACCCATGAGGGCAACCTGAATGGAGCTCCTGGCTGTTGACTGAGCTGGCCCAGTCATTTTAGAGTGAAGCAGCAGATGTATGATCTCTTACACCTTATTTCAAATAAATAAGCAGGGGCCAGCACCATGGTACAGTAAGCTAAGCCACTGCATGTGGCACCAGCATCCCATGTGAGCACTGCATCCATATCAGAGACTTGAAAAAAGTGCCTGGCTCCTGGCCCCAGTGACTGTGGTCATCTGGGGAGTGAACAAGCAGATGGAAGATCTTTCTTTCGCTCCTCTCTCTGTATTTCTGCCTTGCAAATAAATAAACAAATCTTTAAATAACCACATAAATTTTTAAATATTAAAAATACGTGACTGGGCCCGGCGCCATGGCCTAGTGGCTAAAGTCCTCGCCTTGAACGCACTGGAATCCCATATGGGCGCCAGTTCTAATCCCGGGAGCTCCACTTCCCATCCAGCTCCCTGCTTGTGGCCTGGGAAAGCAGTCGAGGATCCCCCAAAGCCTTGGGACCCTGCACCCATTTGGGAGACACGGAAAAGGTTCCTGGTTCCCGGCTTCGGATCAGCATAGCATTGGTCGTTGCGGTCACTTGGGGAGTGAATCATCGGACAGAAGATCTTCCTCTCTGTCTCTCCTCCTCTCTGTATATCTGACTTTCCAATAAATAAATAAATCTTTAAAAAAAAAAAGTGACGAAAATGTTACCCTATTGGTATCTTGGTAGCTCAAGCTTAAGTTGTTTACTAAATGTTTTCAGATTAACTGAATTTACAGCATACAGTAAAGACCTATAAAAGAAACAGAGAAAAAGGAAAACCTGAATCCCAATTCTAGTCATCAAAGATATCTTCTAAACAAGTAACCCTGACTTCCTCATTTTACAGAAGGAAAAAAAGTACCAAGAAATTACACATTAAGATCTCATTTTGCCCCAGATATTTTGACTAACCTATTTTATCACACTTGGCCAAACTGTTCACTATAACTGACTTGCCCTAGCATCTGCAACAAGGTTCGATGTTTTGCTTTGTTTTTACGATTTATTTATTTTTATTGGAAAGTCAGATATACAGAGAGGAGGAGAGACAGAGAGGAAGATTTTCTGTCCAATGGTTCACTCCCCAAGTGAGCACAACGGCCAGTGCTGCACCCATCCAAAGCCAGGAGCCAGAAGCTCTTCCAGGTCTCCCAGGCAGGTGTACGGTTCCAAGGCTTTAGGCCATCCTCGACCGCTGGGATTAGAACCAGCGCCCATATGGGATCCCAGCGCATTCAAGGCAAGGACTTTCACCACTACATTTTCGCGCAGGGCCCAACAATGCTCAATGTTTTAGATTTCCACTCTCCTTTTATATCTTCAGACTTTTTATCTCCACACAGAGAAAAAAAGCACCTGAAACAGGGTAATTTTTAAAGACAGTATAATTTATGAAGTCTTTTAAAGTTTTCCCTCCTCATTCCTTAACAGATTTTTAAACGAATTTGTGGATTAAATTTTCTTGGAAAGACACAAACACTTATAGACTTATTTTTGAGATCAGCATGATGGCTCAACTGGCTAATCCTCCACCTTCAAGTTCCATTGTCCCATGGGAGTGCTAGTACATGTCCCAGCTGCTTCACTTCCCATCCAGCTCCCTACTTGTGTCCTGGGAAAGCAGTCAAGGAAACCCAAAGCCTTGGGACCCTGCACCTGCATGGGAGACCTGGAAGAAGCTCCTGGCTCCTGGCTTTGGATCGGCTCAGCTCTGACTGTTGCAGAAACTTGAGGTGATCCAGCAGACAGAAGACCTTTCTCTCTGGCTCTCCTTCTCTCTGTAACTCTGACATTCCAATAAAAATAAATCTTTAAAAAAAAGTTCAACATTAAGGAAAAAAAATTTTTAATCTCCAGATGAAAATCACATAAAGAAAAGCCCTTCTGGGCCTGGCGGTGTGACCTAGCGGCTAAAGTCCTCGCCTTAAACACGCCCCGGGATCCCATATGTGCACTGGTTCTAATCCCGGCAGCCCTGCTTCCCATCCAGCTCCCTGCCTGTGGCCTGGGAAAGCAGTCAAGGACCGCCCAAAGCCTTGGGACCCTGCACTCGTGAGGGAGACCCAGAGGAAGTTCCTGGATCCTGGCTTCAGATCAGCGCAGTACCGGCCGTTGCAGTCACTTGGGGAGTGAATCATCGGACAGAAGATCTTCCTCTCCGTCTCTCCTCCTCTCTGTATATCTGCCTTTCCAATAAAAATAAATAAATCTTTAAAAAGAAAAAAAAAAAGAAAATCCCTTCTAAGCAGAGATTCAAAACCAGGAAGCTCAAGTCCGGGCTATTCTACTCCTGATCCAGCCACCGGCTTATATGCCTAGGTAAATAGCAGAAGACAGCCCAAGTACTTGGACCCCTGCCACCCACATGAGGAAGACCTCGATGGAGTTGCAGGCTGCTGGCCTTGGCCTGGCCCAGCTCTGGCCTCTGCAGCCACTTGTGGAAGAAACCCACAGATGAAAGATCTCTGTGTCTCTTCCTTCTGTAACGGCGGCTTTCCAAAAAACAAAATCACCACCAAAAAAAACAATCTTTCACAAATTGGGCCTCTACTTCAGAGTCAAATATTCTGATTCATGATGTCACACAATGATCAGTGCTAACAAATTCAAGACTTTGCCCTCAGACTCATCTCACACTAAAATTTTTTACAGTGACACCTCTAGGACTACCAAAGCAAACTCAAATGTTCTTAAGATAGCAGCAGAGCAATTTTTTCTAAAACTCCTGTTACACTTACAAAGCTTGGGTGTGGTTCCTTATTTGTCAGTCTGTACCCCCTCCACCCACAATGAAAACCACATGCACTCTTAGTGTTTGGTGACGAAATTGCAAAACCAGACCCAAAAACAAGTCAAAAGCCAGTGAAAAATTTGTATGCCTTCCTTGTCTGAGTATTTCTGGAAACTACTCACACATATAAATTCACATTTTAGCAACTTCAACATAAACATGCAATCTGACAGTATTTAGACTTATAACAGACAAAGCTGTCCTTATGATGGGCAATTAATAAATGTAAGCTGGGACCCAGCATAATGGCTCAACTAGCTAAATCCTTCCCTTGCATGCACCTACATCCCATATGGGCACTGGTTTGTGTCCGGACTGCTGCATGTCCCAACCAGCTCCCTGCATGTGGCCTGGGAAGCAGAAGAGGCAGCCTAAGTAATGGGATCCTGCACCCACACGGGAGACCCAGAGGAAACTCCTGGCTCCTGGCTTTAGGATCAGCTCGACTCTGGCCATTGTGGCTGTTTGTGGAATGAACCAGCAGATGGAAGACCTCTGAATTCTTCGCTCTGTGGGTCTGTCTTTCCAATAAAAATGAAATCTTTTTAATTAAATAAATAAATGTAAGCTGGCTGTAAGTTAATGATTTTCTTTTTAAGTTGTCAACAAAGGTGAAGAACTCAACACATTCACACTGTCGGTCATTAGTGCAAATTATAAAGAAAACAAATCAGGGGGCTTTGACTGATGTAAATCACTACCAGTGTCTTCTCACACAGGAGATAAGTGCACCGCAAGATGTTCGCCCTGCAGGCCCACAGGTCCTCTCCCACAGCAGCTTGGTGCTCACACAGGCAGTCTAACGTGATGGTAAAAGGGTGCACCATGCTTCCCCGTGGTCTGTCTTCAAACCCTCCTCCTCCACTCATAACAGGGTTAGCCTAATTCTAGTAGCCTTTCATCAAAAGACACAATTAATATTGCCCTATAGCAATTCATAGGTTTACTGGGTCAACCAAGCAAGTACTTTCTATCAGGCAGGGCTTTCTCCTCTGCTCTTGATCACACAAGCTCTCCTGTCCTGACCCATCGGGGCCACCGGAGGCCCCTGCCCTGCGTCACACTCCTTCAATTCTGCAAAATTAGAAAAAGTATAGGTAGGTGAGAAACTCTTCAAAGTCCTTCAAAAATGAGCAAAAGGATGGGATGTTCTTAAGAGCCAGGGATGAGGACTGCTAACTCAGAAGGAGGTCAAACAAAAACCATGATTCTAATTCCATCTGGATGGGTGGGCCCGGCTGACTGACTCCACCCGGGCACTGTTTGGGTTACGCGTCCTCAGATCCCTCACCAATAGTTCACGTTTTGGTGACTGACTTGTCTTTCACGTGGCCAATGTAACCTGGAGAACAAGACCCCAGATGTCAGGACCCATATCTGCTGCTGTCCTGTAAGGTAGCAAGCAGCAAGCAATCTTACAACTTGCTTTTTCCTCCAGCTCATCCACAGTGCTGTACACTTAGTAAGCACCTTTGAAAACACGCGTTTCTGGCGTCCACTCCTGGTAGCCAGGAGCACGAATGTGCCATGCGGGAGCCAAGGTCCAGCCAAGCCATCCATGGCTTTCTATTGGGCTCTGGAGGGTAGGACCAGGTCGCCCTTAGGAGGAAGCTGCTGTTTACAGTTAGGGTGGGGAGGAAGGGCAAGCCGGTTAACTTCTCTTTAGGGAAAGCTAATTCCAAGCCAAGGTGGGATGCTAGGAAGAGCAAGGGCTCCCTTGCCCCAAACCCCGTCTTCTTGGGGTTGCTACTGGGGCCTTTCTGTTGTCCCCAGACATCCTGACCGCTTAGTGACACAGGCTTTCCTCCGAGTCTCCAGCGATTTCTTCCTTTCCTCCTGCTCTCTTGCAGAGAATCCTAACAACATACCTGTGAGTTTAAGACTGGGACCCTAACACTAACATGGGGGTGGGGAAAGGTGGCCGCCTGGAACGTTACCCACCCCCACGCTGGGCTCTCTCGGCACCTCTGTACGCCTCATTGAGACAACAGCTCTGGCGGGGTCTCAGACCCCAGAGAGAGGGAAAGGAGATGGAAAACTGCTGATGACCAAGATCCTGGTGGCGGGCGCGCAGACAAAGCTGGCAACGCGGAAAGGAGAGGACGATCTGGCTCCCTGCCCCAACTGCAGAGAGCGAGCGAGAGAGGGGTGGGGGGAAGAGAGAGAGAGACAGAGAGAGAGACGGAGAGGGAGAGGGAGAGGACGCGGCGGGGACTGGGACTGTGGGCGTGGACCAACAAGGAGTCCCGGAGAGTCGGGGTCCCAGGGGGCTGAGCGGAGGCTGGGGAGAGGCTCGCCGCGGGGTGCCGGCGGGAAGGGGGTAACCCCAGGAGGAGTCCGAGAAACCAGAGACAGCTGGGGGCCGAGGGAAGGCGGCGGCGCGACACTCACCGGAGCCCAGGGGCTGGCAGGGACGGCCGCGGGATGCCCGCCCGGCCGGCGGTCTCGGCTTGCGGACAAGCGAAGCCCAAGCGGCAGCAGCCACCTGCCAGAGGAGGGCCGCTCAGGTAGGGGGCCCGAGCAGCGGTTGCGGGTGAGGACAACAGGAAACTCCCCAACTGCCGGAAAAGACGGCAGCGCGAAGGGGCCAAGGCAGCCAGGTCCCCCTCACGGCCGACTGGGGCTGGCGCGGCAGGCCGGGAACAGACTGCGCGTGCGCGTTCCCCACCCCCGCCGGCGGCGCTGCCTGGGAAGGAGAAGTGCGCGTGCGCGGCCACGCCCCGCTCGCCACGCACCTTCCCTCCTGCCCCGGGGCGAACTTGCCAGCCTGGCTCTCCAGTGTGGGACGGGTCTGCAGGTGGGCCGGGCCTGGTGCTGGGGCTGCGCCGGCCTAGGGCCAAGTGCTCCTGTTCAGCTATTACCTTTTATTTTGGAAGAATTATAGGTTCACAAGTAGTTACAAACAGTACAAACAAGTACCGTGTACCTGTACCCATTTAGCTTCCCCCCATGTCTTACATAAGGTTCAGCGTTATCAAAACCAGGAAATTGACATTGGCACAATTCAGTGAAGTGAAGCAATTCAGTTAATTAGATTATAGACTTGGCCAGTTTGGCATGCGCTGTTTTCAGGTGTGTGTGTACTATGGAATTGAATCACTTGTATAGTTCCCCCACCCTCCTTGATTTTCCATCGTTGTAGCTGTAGGTCTGTTGGTGCCCTAGGCCCCAGCTGCTCTTCCTTCAAAGATTAACACTTATTATCTGGGAACAGGTGCATGCTCCTAGGTTTGGGTACTGCTCTCTGGAGGGCACCATAATGTGCGTGGAGAATCTGCTTTTCAAAGCTACCCAACCTTCTAAAGGGGTCAAGAGGTCCCAAATTTACTGGCCCTTGAGCTCTTCAGAGTGAAGCAGACTTCCTTCAACCAGTGTTGAGCCCCTGGAAACAGATGTGCAAGATGTGCAACAGATGTCTCTGCCTCTTCGAGGGGCTGATGGGAAGCAAAAGACACGTGGTCCTAGCATCCATTACTTGCTTGTTTGTTTTAAAAGATTATGTATTTATTTGAAAGATGGAGTTACAGGGGGAAAGACAGAGCAAGAGAAAGATTTCCCAGCTCCCTGCTTGTGGCCTGGGAAAGCAGTCGAGGACAGCCCAAATTCTTGGGACCCTGTACCCACTTGGGAGACCTGGAGGAAGTTCCTGGCTCCTGGCTTTGGATCAGAGCAGCGCCAGTCATTGCGCTCACTTGGGGAGTGAATCATCGCACAGAGGATGTTTTTCTCTGTCTCTCCTCTTCTCTATATATGACTTTGCAATAAAAATAAAATAAATCTTTAAAAAAGAAAGAAAGAGAGATTTCATCTTTTGATTCATTTCCCAAGTAGCTGCAGTGACTAGGGCTGAGCCCAGCAGAAGCCAGGAACCTGGAGTTTCATCCAGGCCTCCAACACAGGTGACACGGGGTCCCCCAGGCCCTTGGACCATTCTCCACTGTCCCAAGCCACAGTCAGGGAGCTAGATGGGAAGTGGAGCAGCCAGGACACAAACTGATGCCCATATAGGATGCCAGCACTTTTAGGCAGGAGATTAACCACTTAAGCCATCATGCTGGCCCCTGTGTTCTATACTATTAACTTAGCGGTACCCCAGTTAAAGTTGATTCAAAATAGCCTAGCTAGAATATGCTGCTGTGCTGTACAACTCCAAAAGACAGCATTTTTCCAAGACTTCAGCAACCATAGTGAATGTTTCCTATTCGTTCTGGCCATCCAAGCATCCCAGAAGAATGTGCTTCCCCCCAACCACCATGGTTCAACAGCCGCCCGTCTCTACTATGGTCACGTGAAGCCCCAGGGCCACAGTAAAGGGAACGCTCACTCTTTTTTTCCACACCTGCACTTGAACAACCCTGAAAGGGAGAATACACCTGCCAACTCTGGCAACACATCTGCTAAGTGGCATTTTGCGGGTATCCCCCTGCACTACTTTCTAATAGCATCTACCAACACACAGAATCGTAATATGTGGTTATACTGTACATAATTATACCTACAAAATTACACTTATGTGTCATGCTATTCTTATTTGTTCCTTCATATCTGAGCTTGAGTGCTTAATTTTTATTTATTCTGGTTTTTTTTCTTTTGGTTTAGTTGAAAGTCAGGGTGAGAGAGAGAGAGAAAGGGAAAGAGAGAGAGGGAGAGAGAGAGACTAAGACAGAGAGAGAGAGAGATCTTCCATCCTGTGGTTCATTCCTCCAAATGGCTGCAACAGCCAGAGCTAGGCCAGTCCCAAGCTGGGAGCTAGAAGCTCCTTCTGGGTTTTCCACATGTATGCAGAAGCTCAAGCACCTGCTTTTCCAGACCATAAGCAGAAGCTGAATCAGAAATTGAGCCACAAGGACTAGAACTGCTGCCACAGGGTGAGGATTAACTATCTATGGCAGTATCCCATTTGGGCACCTGTTGGAGTACCAATTGCTCCACTTCCCATCCAGTTCCCTGCTTATGGCCATAGTAAAGCAGCAGCGGATGGTCCAAGTCCTTTGGGCCATGCACACACAAGGGAGACCTGGGGGACAAACTCCTGGCTCCTGACTTTGGATTGACCCAGCTCCAGCTGTTGTGTCCATTTAAGGAGTGAACCAGCAGATGGAATTAAGAGTGAACCAGGAAATGGAAGATCTCTCTGTGTCTCTCTCCGAAACTCTGCCTTTCAAATAAAATAATAAAATAATTTTTTAAAAGCTTCTGGAAAAAATAATTAAAACATGTTTATTTTGGTGCACAAAAATGTAAAACTCATGCACAGTTTTTCATACCACATATTTTCCATGAGCTTTTTGAAGTCTGCTTGTGTGTTATATGCTTTTTCCTGTATGTATCTACATGTATACAGTTTAACATAAATTAGACACAGCAAGAGTTTAGCAATGACAACAGAATAACAATATGTTGTAATAAAAAGTTATATGCATTTGGCTTCTCTGTCTCCCAAAATATGGAATTTCTGATGTGATATTTCCAGACTGTGGCTGACCATGGGTAACCAATACTTCAGAAAGCGAAATCACAGACATAGGGGTACCTTTACATAGGACTATCCAGAGGATCCATGAAGGTAGAGTTGTGTTCTAAGGAACTGGCTCATGTGATTGTGAGGGCTGGAAAATGTGAGGTAGTAAGGCGGGCTGTACCCTCAGTCTGGAACCCACAGATTGGAATCCTAACTTGCAGACTGGAAACAGTTCTATGCCGCTCCATAGTGACATACAATTGCCTCTTCCTCCAGAGATCTCAGCCCCTTGCTCTGAGGGTCTCCAATCAATCGGATAAGGCCAGTCCAGATGGTGAAGGCTCACTGACTCCACCTCAAGAGACTGCGAACATTAATCACACCTAAAACAGACCTTTACAGCAACCCAGGCACCTGCACACAATGGTCTAGCCAAGTTGACACAAAAAAATTAACCTTCACACCTTCTAACTTCCCAAAGAATCCCTGCCCTAGCATATGCATGCTTTCTTTTTAACGTACCCGCTCCACTTCATTTCATGGCCTTCCCTTTAAACATCACCCACAGGTTACAGCAAGTATTTTACAGTTGCAGGAAGACAACCCATCAGAGAACTGAGCTGAGGCAGGCAAAGTGTCTCTCTCTCTCTCACACACACACACACACACACACACACACACACACAGCCGAGAGATGAATCAAGAATGCCTCCTCCACCCCTTCTCCGTTCCTTTCCCCTCTGTGCTAGGAGAGCAGCAGGGAAAGAGCTAAGTTTAGACTGCCACCAACCAAGCCAGGCAACGAGAAAGAGAATTCATTTACAGCTCCAGTCCTCCTGGGAAGCATTAGTAGGATTAGTTGAATTTACAACAGCTGCTGGACTGATGGTCTTCATCCTGATGTTTAAACTACAACCCTGCAAATGTCGAAGTAAAGAAAGCTCTCAAGTAACAGTAACTCTTCATATGGTTGCTAGAACTCAGGTTGACAGCGATGCCCACACAAGATGCAATTTTGTTTTCTTTCAAGTATGTACTGAACGAAACTGTCAAAAATAATTGAGAAGTCTTCAGAGACACAGACTTTGAATTTAACTTTTTCCAAATGACTCTGGGTGTGTCATGATGACTCAGTGTTTCTCAGGGTGAAAAAGCTCAGAAACTAGTGAGGAATGCGCCATGTGACAAGTCCATTGCCACATCCAGTGTGTGAACTTTTCCCACCAGCCCTTTGGGGAGTGGAGAGAAACATATAAGCCGAGACAACCTGAGGTCTCCTGGGGGACAGAGAGGATGAGAATTGGGATTTTTGAGCAAAAAGGATGAAGGAAACAAGTTTCCAAGTGCAAATAAATCTGAAAGCCGGAAGCGAAAGGGTTAAGATGTCCCCTGACTTCACTCAGCTTAGATGGGAACCGCCCTATAAAACAAGGGAGCCTTTCAGGGCTGCCACTGCGGCATAGCAAATTAAGCTGCTTTCCGTGATGCCCACATCTCATAGGGGTTGCTGGTTTGAGTCCCAGCTGCTCCACCTCCCATCCCTGCTAGTGTACCTAGGAAGGCAGTGGAGTGCTTGAAGCCCCGCAGCCACTGGAAAGAAGCTCCTGGCTCCTGTTTACTGGCTCCTTGCTTTGGACTGGATAGTTCTGGCCATTGTGGCCATTTGGGAAGTAAGCAGATGGGAAGAAGATGGAAAATATTTCTCTCTCTCTAGTTCTCCCTTCAAAAAAAAAAAAAAAAGACAAGAGAGTTGTCAAAGTTCACACTGTTGGAAAGTTTTCTCTCTCGACTGCTGGGCACAGGACTAAATAGATGCCCAGACTCTCAGGCTGAATCTGTCTTGGATCTGCCTTATTTGCAAAGGTCTGGAACTGCCTGACTAGCAGTGGAGGACACATCTCAGAAATGCCCTTGGCCCGAAGTGGTAGCCTAGCAGCTAAAGTCCTCGCCTTGCACACACCAGGACCCCATATGGGCGCCAGTTCTAATCCTGGCAGCTCCACTTTTCATCCAGCTTCCTGCTTGTGGCCTGGGAAAGCAGCAAAGGATGGCCCAAGACCTTGGGACCCTGCACCCCCATGGGAGACCCAGAAGAAGCTGCTGGCTCCTGGCTTTGGAT